GGTCAAAGATACTGAAAATTAGATTTGGATTTATATTTTTTTTAGTAATATGATTATCATATTCTTTGATGTCAGTTCGGAGCAAATATTTAAGCTAATCATATCTTTTTGTACGCTTCTTATTTTAACCTCTTCTCTGGCCTACCTTCTTCCTTAGCTATGCCCAATACCAAAACTGCCCTTCTCTTTCTTATAATTTTACTTTTTCAACTATTTCACTAATTTCTGTATAAAATTATGGAAAATAATGAAAAAATTCTAATTATAATATCATTCAAAAAAATTGTCAATTCCACATGAGCTCCTCATTCCAACCACTTTTCTTTTAATTTTTTAAAGGATAAATCTCTACCTTAGGGAATTGTTATGCTATGGTGTTGAATTCTAAATCTCAATATCTTTAACTTATATCTTAGTAACACGTAACATTATACTTATATAATATTACAAGTAAGTTTCTAGTCTTACCGTCTTAACTTTATAATAGCCATGCTTAAATAATAAATATCACTACCATTATATGAGTGAAGTATTATATTATTCATACCATTCTTCAATGAGTCAAATGTCATATCTAATTTTTTTTTTTTTTCTCTTTTCTCAGTCTTTAAATTAATTGTGATAGATAGATATTAAATGTAATAATTACTTAGCACACGTGTATTTAGATACAATGTCAGCATACCATTTTTTTTTATTTTTTTTAAGCGGGGTGGTGTCCCAATTAGTTTACGTCCACCTCAACTAATCTCCCGAGATCCTAAAATTACTGATCGATTAACAGCTCTAATGGTCACCTTATTAGTAACTGAGGAGAAACATTTTGAGTAATACACTCAAAAGTCTCTATCAAATCACTCGATCACTCAGGGTTGGTTTCATCAACATATCATTGTGGTACCATAGATTTTCTTTACGACTTAACGCTATTTTGTGGATGAATTGTTAACATAACATGTTAGGGAATTCTGAATAATGTATAACATCGTTTTTCATTTAAGCATATATCCAAATATTCCACTATTTTTTTTTTTTTTCCGGTTGGGTAAGGGAGAAGGTAATTTAATTGCATAAGCATAATCCCTGTTTGGAAAGTCCATGCTTGTATCCTTGAACAATTTTTATGTCATTAATCTCAAAATGCTTTAACATTGCATCAAAATGGTGGAGGTGAAAGCAATGTTTTTAACCACAATGGGAGCAATAATGTAGTTAAAATAGTCCTTAATGAAAGAGCAACAAGAGAAAGTAAACCATCTAAAAAGCTACTTAAAACTATATCAATATAAAGGCCCCTTGATAAAACCATTACTTCTACAAGAGGCAACCTAGAAGCATATAAAGCTTTCAAATCTAACTTCTAATTTATTCACTTATATACCCAATACAAACAATAAACTATGAACTCAAGAAAAATATTCTTATACATTATATTGCANATATATATATATATATTTTTTTTTTATCAAGGTTAATAACATTAATCCCCTTAAGATTTCGAAAATAACAAAAATCTCATTGTCATTATGGTTTTAGACAATGTTCTGAAAACTGGACAGGGCCTTAACCTGTTTAAGGGTCCCGTTCCCAGTTTGATCTGTTTGATTGGTTTGATTGGTTGGATCGGTCGGTTGGACCGTATCCTACAAAATTATTTTTAGTCTCTAAATGTTTGAAATTCATCAAAAACACCCCTAAATAATTATGCATGTGTCTCTAAAGGTTTGAAATCTATCCAAAACACCATTGTTGGTCGAAAAGACTGGTGAGTGATGGTGGCAACGGCGATCGATGGCCAATTGAAGTTTGAAATGATGGGGACTTTTGATGTATAAGTGCCAACGAATCTTATGGTGGTGTCAAGGAGTCCTAACGACACCAAAATTTTTCGAAATCAAGAAGGAAGGGTGACAGTTGCATGAACAATAGGTGGACAGCGATTGACGGCCAATCGAAGTTTGGAATGATGAGGCTTTTGATGTAGAGGTGCCAACATATTTTATGGTGGTGTTAGGGAGGTCTAACAGCGCTGAAATTTGCCAGAATCAAGAAGGAAGGTTGACGGTTGTGTGAACAATAGGTGGACAGCGAGCAACGAAAGGCTGAACAACAGCCACTAAAAATGGATGAGTTTTGTTGTGGAGATGTCGCCAAGTCTTATGGTGGTGTTATCTCCCTCGAACGATGTTGGATTCGACATGATTGACTCGCGATTAGACCACGATTTGGCACTATTCCGACGGTCCAACCATGACTCAATTCGGTTTGATTAAGAATACTGGTTTTCAGGGGAAATCGGACCGGAGATGACACCGATCCCCCGGTCTGGTCCGACTTTCAGAACACTGGTTTTAGGTGTTAAAATAATCGATAAGAGGGTAATTTGGTAATATTTATTGACTCATAACAACTTAAATTTTAAAGGCCTGCTAATAATTCANATATTATCAAGGTTAACAACATTAATCCCCTTGAGATTTCGAAAATAACAAAAATCTCATCGTCATTATGGTTTTAGGCAATGTTCTAAAGACCGGACAGGGCCTTGACCTGTTCAAGGGTCTCGTTTCTGGTTTGATCGGTTTGATTGGTTTGATTGGTTGGATCGGTCGGTTGGACCGTATCCTATAAAAAATTTTTAGTCCCTAAATGTTTGAAATTCATCAAAAACACCCCAAAATAATTATGCATGAGTCTCTAAAGGTTTGAAATCTATCCAAAACACCATTGTTGCTCGAAGAGACTGGTGAGTGGTGGCGGCAGCGGTGATCGATGGCCAATTGAAGTTTGAAATGATGGGGACTTTTGATGTATAGGTGCCAAAGAATCTTATGGTGGTGTCAAAGAGTTCTAACGGTACCAGAATTTTTCGGAATCAAGAAGGAAGGGTGATAGTTGCATGAACAATAGGTAGACAGTGATTGACGGCCAATCGAAGTTTGGAATGATGGAGCTTTTGATGTAGAGGTGCCAACATATTTTATGGTGGTGTCAGGGAGGTCTAACGGCGTTGAAATTTGCCAGAATCAAGAAGAAAGGCTGACGGTTGTGTGAACAATAGGTGGACGGCAAGCAATAAAAGGATGGACAACAGCCACTAAAAATGGATGAGTTTTGCTGTGGAGATGTCGCCGAATCTTATGATGGTGTTATCTCCCTCGAACGATGCTGGATTTGACAGGATTGACTTGCGATTAGATCACGATTTGGCACTATTCCGACGGTCCAACACCGACTCAATTCGGTTTGATTAAGAATACCGGTTTTCAGGAGAAACCAGACCGGAGATGACTCCGATTCCCCGGTCTGGTCCGACTTTCAGAATACTGGTTTTAGGTGTTAAAATAATTGATAAGAGGGTAATTTGGTAATATTTATTGACTCATAACAACTTAAATTTTAAAGGCCTGCTAATAATTCACTAACTATAGATAAAATTTTGTTATTTTAGAAACTTTAGGGAAACTTTTATTATTATATTATACGTCAGGGGCGTCTATGTCTTCAAACCTTTTTTATTATTGTGAATATAAGATAAAAATCTTGAATTAGAGAGAATTTTAGATGATTAAGAAAAAAAATGTCATGAAAAAAATTAAGATAACAGTAGTTAATTTGGTTCATCCTTAATATATAATGTTGAGATGGATATGGGCTTGTTTTTTCCTTTCCATTCCATAAACCAATAATCTCGGCCCATGCCCATTCATTATTTTTTTTTTATAAATAGCACTACTGATAACAACACTCCCTTTTCTTTGGCACTAATAAATGACGTTGTACCTCGATGAGGTAATGGGCAAAACTTTGGCACATCATAAATGTGATTTTGGAAAAAAAAAATCTTTTATGGGTTCAATAGTAATACTTGTAGTATTTTTTTTTTTTTTTTTTAAATGAATTTTGCTATCTATAGCTCTACCAATTTATTTTTGCCTCTATTCTTGGTTTATTCTTAATTGCCTTTTATTCCATGTTCTCCGCGTTGATTTATTAGCATAATTGACACATTTATATGGTAATGGGTTGACCTTTAAGTTTCACCGACTTAAACTTAAATTATCAATTAAAAAACCTAATTTTTTAATCCAAAAAAAAAAAACTTAAATTCCTAATAATTATCCCAAAAAAAAAGGTCAAATTCGTAACAAAAACAAAAAGAATATTACCAAACGACAAAAGATGATTAATATGACATACCAATTTTAGAATATGGTTCCATTTAGCCAAACCCAACAATAATTTGGTGAAGAGAAAAAAAATAAAATAAAAAACCATGAAACTTTTCTAAAACGCAGCGTTTAATGAACAAGAAACAAACAATATTTGTTTGGGTTCTAAAAAAAATAATTGCAGAGAAGAAAATATAAAGAAAAAAAAAAAGAAAAAAAGGAAGGAAAAACAAAGGTATCGTCCCGTTGTAGCTCTCAAAGCGTCTCTGCAATCTCACATAACATAGAGTCACGAAAACGTAAAGAAATTGTAAGAACGAAAGATCCACATCATCATCATGTAATCGTCGAACTAACAGGTAATAAAACAAACATTTTCCACAAATCTTCTTAAATCTCTCTCGAAATTTAACATGTTTCGTTCGTCCCAGAACCACCACCACGTGTGTGTGCTGTTTGGCTATCATTACTGTCCTTAAACGAATTGAAATCTGGTGGGTTGTCACTTTAGACACATCCATCTTCACCTAATTCAGAAAGATTTAATTTTTATTTATTTGTAATTTCCGATTTTGCTTTGAGTGTAAAAATTCTTTGTGCAATGTGTGTTTCATTTTCTTTTTTTTATTTATTTATTGGGACATTGGATTGTTTTTGATCTGGGTTTTGTTGTTGTGTGTGAGTTTGTGATATGGTGTGCTGTGAATTGTGTTTCAGGATTGGTTTTGGGGCACAATATAGGGATTAAACACCATTTGGGCGAATTGAAGTGGGTAGTGCAGAATGTGGAGGAAGTCTTGAATTGTTTGGTATATTTGTAAGTTGTCGTGTGGTTCGGTTTTTGTAACGAGGTGTTGTGCAAATGGCTGATATTGCTGGCTTACAAGAGGCAGCTGGTTCTAGATTTTCTTCGCGGAGTTGATTGGGAGAGGATCTTCGGGGATGTCTATAAAGCGTAAGTGTTTATTGTGATTGGTGTTATGCATTTTAATTTATGTATTCTTGTTCACATTGTTGATGGTACTTTTGGTTTATGTTATTGTTCTATGAAAGCTTGCTTAAGTATTATGACATATGTTTTAATGGTTGATATGTGTTTCTTGCTTTGTTAATTTAGAACGATTTAGCTTTTAGATGTTCTGGATTTCAAAAATGTTTCATGGAATAGCCATCTTTATTATTTTTCTAGTGAGTCAAACATTGAAATATTCAATGGAATAGCCATCTCCGTACTTTTCCACATTTTCTTGATTTGAGAAATTTGTATGATTGATGGAAATTTAGGTAAAACTTGAATTGAATAGGAATACAATTGCAAAAGTTTGTTACACTTGAGAAATTAGCTTTTCAAAATTAAAACCCACTTTGTGGTTCAATGTGAGTACTTGATTTTTAGACACTTGAGAAGTGTGATTAGTATCTTTGATATGCACTCTAACATGGTAAGTTTTTATTATGCTGACTCCTTGGATATATAGTACTATGTTAAATACGCTTGAGGGTTGAGTTTAATTTCCTAAACCATGGATTGGTACTGTAATTGGTCTTACCATGCCCTCGTATTGCTACATGTCCCTTGTTAGATATTGTAGTAGATGGATGTCCTTAAGATGCATACAAATTGTGTTTGAATATATGTTGTTTAAATTAGGTTTTGCAAATACTGATTGTGAGGTATGCATATTTCTACTGGATATATGTCTTGTGAAATTTAATGTCTTATTTGCTTTTTATATATGCTGAAGTTTATCATTATAATTTGAAGCTTATTTCTGCTCTGAGCTAGTGTTCCTGATGCTTTCCTGATTTGCAGGTTTGATAAGGAGCTTAACAAAGAAGTTGCTATTAAAGTTATTGATTTGGAAGAATCGTAAGTTTTTACTGTTGTTTATGTTATTATTTGTTTTTTATAATGGCTTTCGGGTTAGGTGCTTTATACCAGTGAGCAATATTTGTTTATGATTTTAAATTCTTTGTTTGCTTATGAGCTCTCTCTATCTGGTGGTGCCTGAGAGGAATAACTGGAAAACATGAATTACAGCAGCCGTTCTTCTTTGATAAATTTGTGATACGAATGGAGGTGCCTTGGATCAACCAACACCAACTTTACTTTTTAATCATGAGAAACGATTAAGAAGCTTTGTTATCTGATATGGACAGTATAACATCTGCTAAGGACTAGTGTAAACTTACATCAGTGTAGCTACAAGATTTGTCCAATCTTAATTTTGGCTACACACTGAAATGGTGCTGTGATAAGTAAAAAGAAGAGCATTTCTTGTTCAGTATAACCTCCCCAATGTGTATTCTTCATAGGTTTTTCTGTTGCATAGAAATAACAAAGCAAGGTAGGGGCAGGATTTTTTCTTATGGTTGACATTAGCTGGAAAACTAAGAATATGGATGATCTTGACCCTGAAAACAAATTTCCTTGTCAGAATATCGAAAAGACACAAGATTGGTGGAAAATTATGTGCCTGAAAGCTGGATGCTGAGTTGTGCGTATGTGAGTATTGAAGTTTAACTAAGCCTTTTCAGTGTGGAAAATGTGTTTTAATTTCTTCCATGTGGCCATGAGAATGTAAGGGATTTTCAATTGGAGTTTATGACTATCATGTTGTTGAAGAGAAATATGTTGGGAAGCTTCAGGCAGCATGCAGTGCATTGGACATATTTTTATCTGCCAGAAAAGGGGATAAATTTTTCTTTCATTAAGAATTGTTTTAACTTTTATTGTTTTCTTTTTTTGATAGGAAACAATTGTTTATTGAAAATGAGAATTGAAGTATAATTTCTAAGTTACAGTTGCTTGAAGACTTTATCAAATCCAGCATAGTTGTATGTTTGTATGTATGCATTTTGTACTGGAGAAGTCCTTGTCTTTGTTGTAGCAAATGGAATTGACAATATTTAGAAGAATTGGCATGCTTTTTTTTTTTTTATCAGAAACTGAAATTGTATTGAAAGAGAAAAGACGTAGAAAGACGAAGTGGCACTTAACAAGCTTAATTTGACAGATTTGCTTAATTCCTATGAAAACAGTGTTAGGCTTTATGTGATACTCATAAATTTGATATTTAAGTAAATCGTGAGTTGAAATATTTTTTTCAGAAGTAGTTTTACCTAGGGATAAGTTACTCCCAGTTGGAAAAGTGAGATTGAATTGCTCAAGCCACAGAATGCCTGTTGGCATTTTTATTCTGAACTATAAATAAGATCTTTCAAGTTTCTGCCTGAAACTGTGAGGAGAGAGTTTTCGGTGGATTAAACACTTTATATGACTTTTAATCTTAAATCTATTTACTGTGGACCCAGTAAGTGACCATTCTAGATGGTGACTTTTGGCATCTACAGAATTACATGAAGTCAATTAATTTATATAGTTTCTTATCTCAAAAAAAAAAAGTTAATTTTCTTAAATGCCACGTGCTTGGGAAGTTAAATGTCCTTTGGGTGTTTACACTTCCTCTATTTTGTCTTTCCTAATGATGCAAATATGTTTGATGTCAGGGCATTATAACTAATCCTATGTTGGTGAATTATCCCTTTTTGATTATCTTAGGGCCTCTAGTTAGAAGCCTCTTTTGCTGTTTGTAACTTGTGATTTGTAGCAAGGGAGTTTTTGTAGTATATAACAATCTTCTTTCATTTGCTCATTATTTATGCGATTAATGCACTAAAGCTTGTTTTTACTTTGTCTTCTTCAGAGAGGATGAAATTGAGGACATTCAGAAGGTATTATCTCAAATTTAGTCAATCTGTATGCTAGCAGTGGAGTGGCTGCTTACGTTGCTCATGTATTCATTGTTTTGCCAGGAAATTTCTGTTTTGTCACAATGCCGATCGCCATATATTACTGAGTACTATGGTTCTTATCTCCACCAGACAAAACTGTGGATAATTATGGAATATATGGCCGGTGGCTCTGTTGCTGACCTAGTAAGTTATACAGTTGGCTTCGCCGTTGGTTCTTCTTGTTTAATGCATGAGAATTGGTTCCTTTATTTGTTGACTCAGGAGAAATATAAATGACTCTATTTTAGCTTGATTTTTGTGGTAAAACATATTGACCTATGTGAGTTCATTGTTCACCGAAGTATTTTTGTGAGAAATTTGGCATATAATAGTACAAGAGTTTGAATACTATATCTATTCTTGGAGGAAACAAAAAATGATAGTCTTTGGCTCTTTCCATATTCTATACTTTCGGTGAATTATGTACCACTTCTGAGACTGTAGAGAGCAGAGTGATGTTTTTTTTGTAGGCTTTTAGTTGTTTTTTCTGCCACATATTGCTTTTTGTTTTTTTAAATGGTAGATTTATTTTGTCTAATCATTTTATCCTCTAGAAAATAATGTTTTCTTTTTACCCTAAAGACTATAAATAAAAGAAAAAGCAATATTTGAAAGAATTAGGATCTTTTCATTTGCTTTCTTCTTTCTGATTTCTGTATAATTGTGTGTTCGACATGGAGCAGGAAGTTAATATAGCTTAACTTGTCTTTGTTTTTACGACCTTTAGAAAATTAATGATATAATAATTGAGTATATACGGAAATGAACATCATAATTAATATTCAAATAAGAACTTTTAATTGCAATGTTTTTGAAGATGGCCTCTTCTTCTTATTAGTACCATGACAAGCTCTTCTTGGCACGATTTTCAACATCAATGTGAGAGTTTTCTAGTAGCACTTGAAGGATAGAGTTCCTTTTGCTATTTGTTGTATATTTTATTATGTGTGTAGACACATGGACATAGATATTTATTTGTAAGGATGTTATTCATGTATGTTCATTATATGCTCTTCTTAAACAAATGAACTGCAATGTTTTTTTTTTCTAGAAGGCTAATGTAGGTCTTGCTCCTGCAGCTCCAATCAGGTCCGCCACTGGATGAAATGTCAATCGCTTGCATTTTACGTGATTTGCTGCATGCTATTGAATATTTACATACTGAAGGAAAAATTCACAGAGATATAAAAGGTACTTCCTAAAGTCAAATCTCAATGTATTGTGGTGTCATCTCATTGAAAGTCTTCCACCTTTTTTTGATTTGAACTTGATACTAATTTGTCTTGGTGTAGTTTGCCTAGTTTCATGGTAATCTTGGATTAATAGTAACCTTTGCAATATTATTTTGGCAGCGGCAAACATTTTATTGACAGAGAATGGTGATGTTAAGGTACTCTTTTTTGGCGCAAACAGGTCCATGATTGTTTTGAGTTGTTTGTGTAGAGTGACTATCTAGAAGGATATAAATAATATTGGTTGAGTTACATGTATTTGCTCCTGGTCATCAAAGTTACATTAGTGACCTTGTAACAGGTTGCAGATTTTGGCGTTTCTGCACAATTAACAAGGACAATATCAAGGAGAAAGGTACTATTTTTGTTATCCGACAGTTGTATTTGTCTAGTGGCTATTGTGGGTTATTGTTTATTTATTTATTTTTATCTTAAATGGCCTATCGTTTTCTACTTTATTTTTGTCTTAAACAAATGTAAATCTTAGACTTTTCATTATAGATTTTGAATCTAGTGTCTCTGCTCAGTGGTAATCATTTGCTCTTTTTCTCTCTCTTTCTCTTGGTAAAAACATATCTTTTGGAAGCCATGATATCTGTATATCTTAGGGGTGAATGTGTCAGTGAAAGGGAGAACAATATATAGATTGCTACCTTATTAATTTTTACTTTCCCAGTTTTGCCACTATTTTTTTAAGTACCCTTACCATTGGCCCTTGATTTTCTTTTTATAGGTTGTTGTAATGTCTGAAACCAGCTTTTTGTAACAACATGTCCTTTAGTTTTAATTAGTGCTTCTAATTTTGGAGGATATATTTTCTTTTAATAATGAAAACAAGAATGGCTCTTCTTCTTTAGTTGTGATCTCTGATTAGTCATTGATATAGAGCTTAATGAGCTAATTTTAATGGAAGTTTACTTTAGCTTTCTAGTTTGCAATGCCATCTGGGCCACATTATTTTTGTGGTGTTCATATATGTCTTCATATTATTATGGAAACCTATATATTTTTTTGTCATGACTTGTGAGCAATGTAACAGATGGTGTAGTTTAGACATTTGGTCAGTGGTGCACTAATTTGTTTGACAATTACAGACATTTGTAGGAACTCCATTCTGGATGGCACCAGAGGTGATTCAAAATTCAGAAGGGTACAACGAGAAGGTAACTTTTTGAAGAAGCCCATGGGATCTTTTTTTTTTTTTTTGATGTCATATTGTTATCATGCAACCCCTCCATTCCCTCACTCTTTGTTCCCATTTTCGCTTTTTAGTTATAAACATTGCTTTACTGGATTGTTCGCTTGATACAGGCAGATATCTGGTCTCTGGGAATAACTGTGATTGAGATGGCGAAAGGAGAGCCCCCACTTGCAGATCTTCACCCAATGAGAGTTCTTTTTATAATACCTCGAGAAAATCCACCGCAGGTTTTCTAATCATGCTATGTTGTCTCACAGTTAGATACTTTGTTAAATTATTATTAAAGCAAAAAAAGGCTTAATGACTGAACGTAAGTAATATTTACTGTTTGTTTGGATTGTGCAGTTGGATGAACATTTTTCTCGCCCTATGAAAGAGTTTGTTTCATTGTGTTTGAAGAAAGTACCTGCTGAGGCAAGCATTTTACACTCTCCAATCCACTTTCGTTTGCATTTTCTTTGTCATTTCAATATTCTGGATTGGACAATGTAGATTTGATTGATTTCATATGAAATTTTAGATTCTGAGAATCTAATTTCTCTTAGGGTATATATTAGTTTGAGTTATTTTTGTGTATTTTATTAGATAGGAAGGGCCATGAACATTCCTTTTCATTCATAATGAATTCGAATGTTTATTGGCCTGCATATCATCATGCCATTTGTTTGCTATATTCTTTTAATTTTGTTTAATTGGAAATGGAGTGAAATTTACAATGTGGTTTGTATTTGTAAAAAATCTTTTTAATTTATCTAAAGTGAAAAACAGGAGTGAAATTCATCTTGTCTTCCAAAACTGTTTTGATGTGTATTGGATAAAGTGGTGATATCATCCCCTTTGTGAGGTTTGATTCTATTTGAATTTTTTTTGCTTTTGATGTTTTTTTTTTTTTTCTTAATTTTTACTACTTCGATTGCAGAGGCAAAGTGCGAAGGAACTTCTCAAGCATCGATTTATCAGGAATGCTAGGAAGAGTCCAAGGCTTCAGGAGAGAATAAGGTGTAATATGTTGCTATGGATCTCATTACTTGAGCATCTTTATAGTCTCTGGATTTTCTTTTTCTTGATTAAGGTTCTATCTCGAACACATTATTTGATGTCTAAAAAGCGTGAAGCACACTCGAAGATTAAGGCATTAATTCATCTAACATCTTTAATACATATATGTCTTTTTTGTTGTTTTTTGTGGCAAAGAAATTCGTAGTAATGTGCTTCCTTGTTACATTGGTGAGCTTAGAGTTGACATTCTCTATTTTCTTATTGATAGAGAGCGGCCAAAGTACCAAATAAAGGAAGATCCAGATACACCAATAAATGGTGTTAGATCTGTAGGAGACGGGTCTGGCACTGTGAAGGTGGCAAGAGATGTGAGAAGTGATGAAACCGTTCGAGCCAGGTCTATTGAAGCTGTTGATTGCTAGTTTTTTTCTTTTCATGATTGATGTTGACTTCTTGTGTCTGCAGTAGTCAGGGGCAAACCACTAGAAATGCTGGGTGGGACTTCAGTATTAGTGGATCACAGAGTACAGGAACTGTCAGAAGTGCTGTAAGGCCACCTCAGATTAGAGAAAGGAAACCAGAAGTTTCGTATAATCAAGCTACCCAAAGGAGAACTTTAGAGGGTGATAACCAGTGGTCTGGAAGTGCATTTCGTGAATCGCTAGAACTTTCTTCTGGAAAAGATGCTAGGGATTTATATCATGATGACTACGAGGATAATAGCTATGAAGATGTAAGTCTCTCTCTTTGATGCAACCTCCTCCAGTTTTTTGATGAGCTATGAGATTTTGTTCTTCTTTTACCATTTCATTCAGTTCTAAACTGGAAACTACTTTTAGTATTGGACCTTACAAAATATTTGGGTGGTTATTTCCCAAGTAGGTGTCTCCATTGGTTGAAACCAAATGCCTTAACCACCCAACTCAACCCTTGAGATTTGGTTTATTGGTTCTTTGACTTATATGGGGATAAAAGTGTCAGTAATTTTTGGGATGTTAACTACTGCATCTATATATTTGCCAGTTGATGGGTAATTGAATAAGAAATTCCAGTTAGCTCTTGATTTTAATGGTGCTGTCCAACCGTTTGCATGTTTGTTATTTCTTTATGCATCCATTTACTCTCATTGTAATTGGAAATTTGATATGCCTTAATTGTAGTATGTATGCTCCCACTAATTTTACCATGTGAAAAATCAGCTTGATCTTTAAATTGCGGTGGTTATTTTTGGCAATTGTTTCAGAAATTATCCGAACTGAGTTATCATCAATGTATGTTATAGTAGTATGATATATTAATACACAGAATTTCTGCTTGTATCCACTAAAAGTTGTTTGAAGTGCTCAATTTCCAGGATGAGGTGAGTGGCTCAGGAACCGTTGTTATAAGAAGCCCAAAAAAATCTCAATCATCTGGTCTCTTCCATGATCGAAGTAGTCTGGTATAGTTGTCCTGTTAATATGAGATTTAGTTAATTTAGTCCAGTGTTTTAGCTGTTGTAGCCATTTCATTAATTTTAGAATATTATTTATTGTGTAGTCTAGCAGCATGTATTCTGCTGTTGAAGACGCTTCTACCAGTGGAACTGTTGTGTATCGTGGTCAACATGATGAGCCTGATTATATTCGCACTCCAAAATCCAGACTAGGAATTCAAGAGAGAACTGCAAGTGCCTCACTTGAAGACAGTTCACAAAACCTAGCGGAGGTGGTTTTAGTTCTTGTCTTTTACAATGACTTTAAATGTTTTCAGTGTTTTAAGAAAGAATTTGGAAAAATCACAAAACTCCTTTCACTTCTCCAAAATACTAATACAATAATCTTTGAATTCTAGACAATAGATGGAATGAATACACAAGGACAGATATTTGAGTATGATTTGCTACTATATCAGAGATTCCGACCCTTTATCAGTAGATAACAATTTGCAACTATGGAAAACTGATTTTGCCTTTTCTAAATCTTGTTTTCTGAAATACAATCTGGAAGGGGTTTTTTTTTTTTTTTTCATTAAAAAAAAAAATGTAAAAACAGTAATGAACAGCCCCTAATTGTTGTTAAGTTTTCTAGTATTTATGTGAAATCCCTGAATTATTTTTATTGCTTTCAATAGTTTTCTTATTCTTGAAAGTATTTGTCTTCTGTAAATTTAAACGTGTTCCCTTGTCTGTTCTCAGACTTTTCATGTAGGGTGTTCTCACTGAAATTTTGTTGTATTCTATTTCCTGTTACTGGTTTTTTTTTTTTTAAACAATGTTGACGTGGTTCTTGTTATTAAGCTTCTATTGTTGGTTGATACATTGTTTAGGCAAAAGCTGCTATTCAGAGTGGGTTTAGGAAAGGGAATGCTAGAGAAAGATTAGGGCTGGGCAAGATCAATAATGATGGGCAGGAATATCGAAGAAGAGAGCAAATAACAAGCAGCTCTGATTCTTCCAGGTAAATCTAACAGTCACTTCTGCTAGTTTATCTGCCTCACATAATGGGATGTGTTTGATTATTCCAATTTCTGAGATACAATGCTCCTACCTCAGAGATTCCCGGGACTACTTTGATGCACAAAGAGCATTTTCTAGATCACGCCAAGCAAGTGATGATGAAGATAGTGCAAGAATAACATCATCATCTGCACCATTGTCAGTTTTGCTTATCCCTTCCTTAAAAGAGGTAAGCACTAAGATGATACCATTGTAATTAGTTTGATAGAGATAACCCATTAATAATCTAATTAATGACAGTACATAGCTGTTTGTGCAGAGACTAACATTTTGCATTGAGGGACCTGGTTAATGTTGCCAATTCAAACGTGGGGTAGCTTCTAATCAAATTAGGATGTTCATGTAGATGAAAAGAATTATTTTCTCTGATAATATGGGGAACATGAAACTGAGTTATTAATTGTGGGATCAAACTTAGAAGCTCATAATTCTTGTGAGAATCACTTCAGTAATGTCAGAGCACTCATTCAGTATAATGGTAAAAGCCTTGATCTGTACGCCGAGGGTTAGAGTGGGACCATCATTTTTTTTTTAATGCTCATTAATCTCTGTGAGAATGTTGATATGCAATTCACGTAGTTTTAGTGTTTGGCATCTGCTTATGAGCAATGATCACTTTGGCTTGCTGTTTTTCCTCTTACAGTTTGACTGCTTTTATGTTTAGGCAGTTGCTGATGATGCAGAAGGACCTGTTGTGCATCAGGTCATAAGTTCATTAATGAATATGGAACGCATGAAGCCAGGTTCTTGTGAAGTTCTTGTCAGAAAGTTGCTTCAGCAATTAGCAAGGTTTAAAACTTAATATTCTCTCACCAACCACCCCAATAAAATAAAAACAACAAACTCCTTTCTTACTTATTGAAATGTGATTCCTGTAAGCGATATTACTTAATCTCAAATTGAAGTAAATTTATGCAGTTCAAAAGAGTCTTCGATGAAAGATATCCAGGAGCTGGCTGCTCGCATCTTCGCAAAGTTCAAAACAACATCTGAATTAACACAAAATGTAAATTCCGAGGCTGATAACAAGAAAAAGCAACAAACAAAGGAAGTACCATCAAACGCTAATTTAAGCCCACTTGCGAGGTTTCTACTCTCAAGGTACATCAGTTGTTTTCGCCGAGATTTTTTATTTTGATTCTGGAAATTTTGATAAATTTCCCAACTTATGGCTATATTTATCCTCATATTTCCTTCTGTTTATGTTTATAAACATTTTATATGAAATATATGGTGGTGTGTAAAATTGGCGACTTTCTTACGCAGATGGCAAGGGCAAGCTTCTCGGGATCTCAACCCAACTTAAAACCGGATGTTGGAACGGCAATTACATCTTTGTTAGTGTGTTTTCTGTTTATGCATTTATTCTGATTTGATGTACATAACATTGTAAGAAATTGTGTATTTATTATCCACCATTATTATTTTTCTATCTCAAAATTTTGTTTTGCAGTTGCAGAAGCTTTGGTGCATAATTAGGTTTGCTATTATTAGCATTGTAATTTCACTAACATTAATTTTATCAATCAAGAATTCTCATTTTGCAATAACTTAATGAATGATTGTGCTTACATTAGTCTTTTCTACTTCTTTACTTGCCTCATCTGGTTGCTCATAACGTATGAAGCAAATCTGGAAACCTTCAAGATCATCATCTTAGCTTAAAATCCAGTTTCCAGATTTTGGTCTTCTTCTGGGTCCATGTTACCAATTCGAAATTGACCCACTTTGTGCTCTAATGATATCAATTCTCTCTGAAAATTATAAAATACTTGAAAGGCCAAAAGCATTAGTGATCTTAACTTCCATATCAGAACCAGTTTGGTTTGCCACAAAAACTTTAAAGGGTTGAAGTTGAACTATTCCTGACCTGGAATCAATAATTCCACCAGAAAAATAACATGAAATCTCAAAATTCCAGGGAATTGGTATTACAGTACTCTATATATTGGAATGTATTTTTACAAAAGGGTTACTTCTTCTCTCTTCTTCAAAAATAATATGCAAACCAACCAAGATATTGTATACTTACATATTGAATGTCAAAGTCAAACTGAAATCAGAATCTATCTGGCTTGCTAAGCGATTCATGATTTTTTTTTTTTTTTTTTTTGGTATAAAAGAGATTAGTCAATGATATAGCATTGCTTATATAAAAGCGACACTGGAACATAAAAATAATGATTCCTGTAATAACATTAAACTCCCAGCTATTTTTGTAGCACGCAAACTTGTTGATCTCTTGCAGCAAAACCAAACTCAAACCGAACTCTCTATCATCATATATTTATTGCTACCTGCCCCGAGAAGGTTGCTTTTGAGAAGCAAGCTTCCGGAATGCAGCATGCAAAATCATAACTACAGTACAGTATAAAATTTATCAGCTCAGAAAAGGAATGGCGACATCCATAAAAATGATCAAGAATATCTAGTATCTAATCTTTACCTGTGTAACCGACAGAGAGTGCATAGAAGAGAGCCATCTGAACATTCAAACATATCAAAATAATCACAGTAGCTGCAAAGATAAGAAGCAATTGATACTGTGAGATACAGAACCATTATGAGCATTCATACACTTCAAAGAAAGAATTGTTCAGAAATATTAAAGAGAAAAGACAAATCAGAGTGATACAAAAAAATTATGCTACCATCAATGGTGAATTTCCTAGCATCTTATATAATATATATAGACGAAAGCCAGCCTCAGAAAGGAGAGATAAGTGTAATTTTTTGAACCAGAGACCAATTTGCATATATAGCTAATGAAGAAAATATTAACACCGTATCAATGACATCTCAGATCATTGTATTACACTGATCCATAACGAGAGCTAATTGATCATGAATCATAACTATGATTTCCAGTAAAATGCCAGTGTGTACAACCTTTCTTGCTTATTTTGTAGTCAGAAAATTCTTAGTAAAATGGTCGAACCAAAATGTTTATTCTAGATAGTGACTGTTCTCGACTTTGACACTTGAACATAACATACTTCCCCCCGAAGTGCGATATTTTCTCAAGAAGTGATTAATGGAACCTATACTTTTCTTGTCTCATCTCATTTGCTTTTGTTAGCTTTATGGATTCTTTCTATTATATTAATTTTTAAAGTCCCTTACTTCCTAACCAGAACTTCACTAGCATTTTTTCTAACAAAACCAAAATCTACAAAATTTTAACCCCTAATCAAAACACAAAGAACAATAGTTCATACTGTACCCCAATAAGCAAGTTATGCGCTAACATTAACTATGCCCTCAGCTGCCCCATAAACATGGTTACTTTTCATAAATTTCACAACACTAGAACTAGATAGGAAGTCCTAAATTAAGTTCCATAACTGAAAGTACAACAGTTCATTACTATGGCATCGATATATGATGATGAAGAGAAGACCACATCAAGTTCTCTCATTGAAGGCAGCCATATATGGAAGATATGAGAACTCACCACATTGCGCAATACGAATCAGAATTTGCCGAATCACAGGATATCGATCAAATTTCCATTTATCACTACTGAACTTGAACAAATCCCAAATCGCCAAACTTGAGATCAACCCAAGAAGAGCTAGCGGCATCTGGTACCTATAATCACAAAGACAAAGAAAGTCTAACTAAACAAACAGAAACAAAAATCACATAAATTAACATTAAAAAAGAAAGAAAGTACCATATAAACATTAAATTTCAATCTTCACATTCTAAGGCCCAAGACAGAAATGATAAAATTACCAAAAAACGACTATTTTACTCATCAAGACACACAATTTCGAAATTTGACCACTTTCCTCAACACCCACAAGGAACTAAACAAGAACCCACGTATAAAAACACAAACAGAGAGAAAGAGAATAAAGATTCTTACAAGGAGCAGGCAAAGAAGAGAATAAACAAAGTAGCATAATTTCTGGCATATCGTTTGACGTTCTCTTGAACCCTCAATTTGAGAGTGTCTGGCGACGAGGGGAAGGAGTAAGAGCCTGCGAAGCCAAAAAACTCGTGCGTCCAAGAGGGGGTGCGGGCGGAGAAATCATCGGTGGTCAGCTTAGCAAAGGGGTTGACTGTGAGGAGAGAAAAAAAGGTCCATAAATAATGAAAGAGGCTGTGGGTAATAGTGGCACTGGTGGTGGTTGCGGTGGTGGAGGAAGTGGTGGATAAGGCGGCGGAGTTGGTGTCGAGAAGTTCAAGGTAGCCAGAGTCACGTAGCCATGACTCGAATGCCGGGTCAGGGAGGCTTAAAGATAAAGGGTTCGATGAGAAAGCCCTTCCCATTAACAACACCGCTAAATTACAGGGCTTTCGCGTCTTGTTTTGTTATATAGATATGGGCAGCGCCACACTGTTTAGTTAGTTGATGCTGAAATAATTATCGATATATTTAATCAAATTTAATACTCTTATTAGTCTATTTTAGGTAAATTAATTTCAGTAAATGAAAATTTGGAGGCTTGAAATAAATAAAATATCAATTTATAATTTTTTTTGGGTATTATTCGTATTAAAACCTTTCCTCAAAATGTGGAACACACAAGACACAACTCAGTTGAACTGCTTGTACCTTACTTGAGTTTTGATAAAGCAGTTAGTAATGTCTATGTCATTGAGACATTTCTTCAAACACTTTCCGTACACACTCGCCCGTTACTTAACTCACCCGCCATATCAGTATGCGGCTCCGCTTTCTCTCCTCTCAACTCTTTCCTTCAGAAACTACGAACCCACAAACCATTCAACACCCTCTTCGCTCTTCACTAAGAAGTTTTCCATTTCTTCTTCTGTTTATACTTCGCTGGACACTTCCTCCTCTCCTGCTTATCTTTCAGTTCGCATTCGCTGTCAGAAACATCTCATTGTTAGATTCTCTTCTTCTTTATAATTACTTGGATTACAAGGCATTGTTATTGCAAAAAACCCACGTTGCTGTTTTGGTTTATGAACTTGAACTGAGATAATTGAGTTTGGTACCACTGTTAGAATTAATGGTTTTCGCGATCCCAAATGACCATTTTAGTTAAAATATTAACAAAATTTATCTAACTATATTTGTGCTTCCTTTTGTTTTACAGGATGATTTTTCGGAAGCTCTTCTGTGTTTTGGTGCAAGTTCTACAAGCGTGGATGAAGAAGATGGATGTGAGAGTTCTGATGAGGTGAAAATTCTTGTTATATATATAGCGAATAATTTTATGTTTGAATTATTAAAGATGAAGTTATGACTGAGGATATGTATTAAAATGATAGCGAATTAATGATAACAAAGAGGTATTCTAGTGAAATTTCATTTGAAGGTTTGGTATTAATGATGTCAAAGTGAGTTTCAGAGTCTACCCTTTGAGACAAATTTTAGTGGATATAATGTAGGTAGATTGTCTTTAATTACTCTGTTCACTAGTTTGAAAAGGCAATAAGGAACAGAAATTTGTTGTTTTAAATTATGATAGCTTTTTTATGCAGATCTTCATTGATTCTATATTTCCTGAAAGCGAAGATGTGGACACATGCATCTCATGTGCTGTGGATTCCATAGGCTTAAAAGAGATACCAAGTTATGAAGTTAAAATTGGTGATCAATACAACTGGATACAGAAAACTCAGGTTCATCTACTTGTCTGTTCTTTGTCATCAATTGCATAATTGGTGTCAGTTTTAATGTTAGTAAGATGGTGCCATTTCATTTGATTGAGTTGTTTCTCTGCCTTCCACTTCATTTTGATGTAACCGGTTGGAAGGCAAACTTACTAATGAAAAGAATTTTGAAACAGATTTTTGTGCAGATTATGCCCCAGATCTTAGGAGTTAAAACCTGAAATTTAATTCATAAACAATTGACTTCAACGTTGACCTCATTCTGTCTAACTTGCATTTATGGAAATTAGACTCAAGGAAGCCAATGTGATCCTACATGAGCTATCTTTGATTTTCAAGAGAATACTGCTTTGCAATGATTTTTGAGGTACTTACAGCACTAGGAATACAAAAATGTGATTATTCCTTTAAAGGTGATGAACGCTCGTAATTTATTGTCATCTGGTTCTGTACTTTTGTTCTGCAACCTTTTTTCAATACCTTAACTATTTATTGTTTCCAATGTACTCTACCTCGCTTTGAGGATCAACTTCTGACTTGAGCTGTATGTGAATTTCTGTAAAATTATCAGGTTATGTCGAAAAATACAGGGATAACTAAATTTATTGTTTACTATCAATTATAATAGTTAGGTGTGCATAATTCTTTTTTCAGTACTTTATTGATAATGTTTTATGAATTTATTGCAGGAATCATTTCATCCTGTTAAGGTTACAAAAGGACTATGGATTGTACCTGAGTGGAGAACTCCCCCAGTATGATTTATAACTCTTACCTTTTTGGAGGTTTTATTTGTTGCAGTCGTTTCTGACTGTATATAATTAGCTCTTTTCTTCATTACTTTTATTTAAATCTTATAAGCTTGTTTCCTATGAACATTTCAAAATCACACTGTTAAAATTTCTTACACTAGTCAAGTATTTGATATTGCAACTTCTATTACGGTTGAACTCTCCATCTGATGGGCTAAGCATTTGAATTTGATTTGTAGATGATTAAGAAAAGTCATGAGGATACAAGCACTTGTACACACATTTCTGAATCAAGGTTCCTGATAGGATAGTCTGACTCTTTTGCTCATGAAACCTTTTGCAATTCAACTATTGTTAAAGCACATATTATTTATGAATAATAGTATTTTTGCTTCATCACTACAGGATGGTGAAGCAACAAATATAATTTTGAATCCCGGATTAGCATTTGGGACAGGGGAGCATCCTACTACTATGTTGTGTCTATTGTTGCTACAAGGCTTGATAAAAGGGGGAGAACTCTTCTTGGACTATGGCACTGGTTCTGGAATTCTTGCAATTGCTGCAATTAAGGTAATCAACCTTGATTTTAAGAGACGGTAGAACCTCATTGTGTAGAGTTGCTTACAAATATTTTTATGTCTTATATATATGTGTTATTGTTTAGTTTATGAGAAATTTCACCCATTCCTAATTTCTTCTTGAAGTCAGTGACGAGGAATGTTTTTATATTTCCCTTATCCATTATACTTTTTCCATGTCATGCCAACTGATTCTCAAATCCTAATTTATTGACTGGGAATACAGTTTGGTGCTGCCTTATCTGTTGGAGTTGATATAGATCCCCAAGCAATCACATCTGCGAGTCATAATGCTGCTGTTAATAACATTGGACCTGATAAATTGAAATTAGTCCTAGTTCCTGACAACACACGTCCTCCCTCCAAAGATGAAAGGGAAGATGGACTGAAGAACGATCATAACTCATATCAAACGGGAGCTGTCGCTGAGATAGACAAGTATGACGTGGTTATAGCAAATATACTTCTAAATCCATTATTGGAATTAGCAGATGATATTGTTTCTCATGCTAAGCCTGGGGCAGTAGTTGGCATCTCTGGTATCTTATCTGAGCAGGTATCTTCTTAGTCTTCATCAATGTTATTGATTATGTACTATTAAGTGATAAGCAGTTACCAGTTAGCAGCAATTGAATCAAAGTGGCTGCATTCTGTAAAGCTGAGATAGGAATGCTCACTGTCATTGACACATTTTACAATACTATATCCTGCTTCAATGATCAGACATCGATGTCCAAGTTTCTGTCTGTTACTAAAACAACACAATTCATCAAAACTCTGAATATCCATAAGAGATAAAAGGGTCTGCCATTTTTATTTCCAAAGCTCTTTGGAATGAGTTTGTACATACTTGAACCTGACTTCGTTGTCAAATCTTTTGCAGCTTTCACATATCATTGATAGATATTCAACATTACTGGAAGGCATATCGGTGTCACAGATGGATGACTGGGCCTGTGTAAGTGGCACAAAGAAAACAAATCCTGCTGACAGCTGAGGAAAATCATTAGCGTTGAACTGCAATCATACACAATAAACTCAACTCGGAAACTGGTGCATTATATTGTGGCTACCCCATTGTCGGTGTTCGCTGTCTAGCCCGTGGTATTGCGAAGAACTTGGAAGCAAGTTGCTACAAAAGCATCACAACCCAAAAATGTTTTGCAGTTTATGTAATTAATTTTCGTTGGCACCACTTCTGTGCCTGCCGAAGCTGGAATTGTTTAATTTATAGCTCTGTGGTTTGTCCTCAGAAAACAAAAAGCAGACCATAATAGTGGGATTCTAGTAGAAATTTTCTGGAACTGATGTTCGAAGACAAATTATTGAAGAGCTGAATTAACAACCTATATTACCTCGATGACCCTAATTAAACATGTACATACATGTTTTTATACAAGTGATTTGCATATAAATGTATGAGTATCAACTATCAAGAAACAATGTTAAAAAAGGAAATAAAAAGCATTTTCTTAAGTGTTTAAATGCAATAAAAAAAACCACTTCTGAGTGGCCGAATAGTTGAACAAAGATTCTAAATCTTAAATGTATTATTCAAGAAGTCTTGAATTCATCTCAGTTACTAATAAAGATGGTCATTTGAGAGTATATCTCAGTTACTAATAAGGATGATCATTTGAAAGTATACCCAATCATTATCTTTAAGACTTCAAGAGTTAATCGAGGTATGTACGAATTGATCCGGACACTCTAGTCTCTAGACTCCAATCACCAAAAAAAAAAATGCAATAAAAAAGAGGTCACAACTCACACAAAACTAAGGATATTCCAATTAATATTATCAGTTTATCACAGCCAAGGAGAAGTCACCAATAAACAAACTAATATATGAAAGAAAGCTAAAATAAACAGAGATTATAATTTAAAAGAAAAAATTACACGAAACAAGTTATTGCTACTTTTAAAATAAACGTCATAAAGATAGTCATCCTTGTGGCCAGAATAGATTACATTCTTTTAATGAACCTATGGTTACTAGTATTAGTATATACTGCAAGCCGGAATTCCCCAAGCTCTTAACTTCAGGTTCTGCATGAGACGTCAATCCAGAATGATAGTGTATCTCTTTCAAAGTTGCAAACAAAACGGTTGTATCTCTTTTTGTAAAGCTTTCTAATCAGTGCCTACTCAGACCAAAATTGTTGATGAGACATCAACGTTTGAGCGGCCTCCGAGACAAGGCGGGGGCTTTCTTAGGAATGTAGACCTTGTAGCTTACCTGGCCAAACATAAGAAGCATGAAATCAGACTTTGGCACATAACACGAAAAAAATTACATACAACATTAACAGCTTATAGTTTTGAGATGCAGAGGTCTATAGTCTATATCAAATTAAAATACTTACCTCTACCAGTTCACCACCCCGCATTACAGTCATAGTCTTCTGCTCTAACTGTGAATCGTCCTTGGCCTCATCTTGTGGTTTATTAGAGCTAATGCCTCCAGATATAGATTTTAAGCAAGAAGTATCATCAGAAGCAGAACTGCGGGCGTTATTAACTTCTTCACAATTAGTTTTGCCAAGTTGGTCGATCTCAGTTTGTGCTGTTTCTACCTTACAGTGAGCTACGCTATTCCCAGTAATTGACTTTGCTTGAGGGGGTTCCTCTCGCAAAGCAGATTCTTGCTTCTTGTTGATGGAAGCATTTGATGGTTCTCGCCTTGATGCTAATGAAATCAACCTTGGTTTATAAGATTCAGAACCGAAAGTCTTGTTGACCTTGTTGGGGCTGCTAGCAAGAGCAACCCGATCTGGTGGATGTGCAACATCATGCTTAGCCCCATTATTTTTGTACCCATTGTTCCCATCAGAAAGATTTTTATCATTCTGTGAAATCTCTGTAGGACTTTTACTTGCTGCAGGAATACTGTCATCCCCTGCTACTTGGCTTGTAACGACTGCTCTAGCACCCCCTCCCTTGGAGGATTTATTTTGAAACAATTCAGCCTTTGTGGAGGACAGTCTCTTCACATCACTATGAATTAGATCTTTCTGATTGACAGGAGCCTTTGCATCTGTCTGGTGCCCCCTTCGGAATGTCCTTAGATTTTCCAAAGCCTTTTGTCTTAAAATTGACTCCAAATTATATGCGTTTGGACTATCAGCAACACCAGAATCATCATTCCTTTTTTCCTCTAGAACATCATTCATCTTAAACCCATCACAAGGACTATTCTCGTCATAGTCATCACTGTCCTTGTCGGTTTCTGTGACTTTACCACTTCTGATGTTAGAAACAACTTCTCCTTTTTCATCTTCTGCATGCCTTTTCTCCTTTGTTGTGACATGATAATTATGGACAAACTCTCTCTTGCTCCCCCCATCATTACTATCATTGCTTCTGCTAGGAGGATAATCATCATAATCATATACCATCTCTTCTTTATGCTCATCTTCATTCATCCCTCTCTCCTCATTTCCCTCTCTAACAACAGTAATAACTGATCTCAGCCGTCTAACATTAACCTCACCTGTCAATTGTTCATCACTCCTGTAATCATTATACCTACTGCATGATGAAAAACTCCTCGACCTAGATCTGCTCCTTTTACTTCCACTTTTAACCTTTTCCACTCTTCTCCTATCTTTATCTCTTCTTTCAGACCAGCCTCTATTTTTCTCCACTTCGCTCTCATCACTGCTACCACTCCCACCCTGACAAGTAGAGCAACTCCATGACCCACTACTTGTGGAACTAACACTTACCTCCCATTTAGACTTATTCTTCTTCTTCTTCTTCTCCTTCTTCTTCTCCTTCAGCTTCTTCTTCTTCTTCTCATGGGTTTTTTTCCTCACCTGAAAATCACCATTTTTCTTTGATCCCTTTCTTTTTTTAAAAAGAGGAGCGTCTTCAGTCTTTTCACTGCTAGAGGACTGTCTTCGAGCCCTCTTCTTACTGCTCTTCACATCTTTTCTTGTTCTTGAACGAGATCTTCTACTTCTATGGTCATCCTCAGAACAAGAGGATGAAACAGATACCGAATTCATGGAATCATCACTATCGCTTGAATAAGATACAGAATCATCACGATGGGGAAGCTTCTTGGACTTACTCTTTCTCCTGGTCCTACTTTTACTTCTTTTCTTAATTCGCCCCTAAACACCCAACACACCCACATACATACAGCAATTTTAGATTGAAATCACAGAAATCAGAAAAAAAAAAAAAAAAAGGGCCATGTCCAGATTCTAATTTACAAATTGTTCAATCAATCAGAGTCTTGTTTCTCAGAAACCAAACAGAGCATTAAATCATATAACGTAAAACATCACACTGTTTAAAACTAATCTCTCTCAACAAACAAAACTGCGGCTAAAAAAATCTTTTTCTTATTCTACATAATCAAATTAAAGAACTTGTCCATACCTAAATTCCTGAGCAAAAAATTAAAAAAGGGCAAGAGATTTGAGCAACTTAACCATAGAACAATAAAATAATCATAGAAAAAACAGTAGATTGAGAAAGTACCCGAGAGGAAGAAACTTTCGATCTCTTCTTCTTAATAGAAGAAGACGATGTCTTTCCCATCTGGGTTGTGTTCTCTCAACCTGCAAGAACCAAAAATCAAACAGAAAAAGAAATATATGAAGACTGAGACAAAGAAGAAGAAAACAAGAGCGTTAATGGTAATGGGTTAGAATAGAATTGGGCATTGAAGAATAGGGTGATAAAGCCACTGCTTTTTCCCTCTTTTCTTCTCAAAGAACCGCAAAAACTCGAGCCAAAAACTGATATTGCTAAAACGACTGCCCATTTAATACCAATTTTGACGTCTAATATTTTAAGGCTGTGTTTGGAATACTTTTCTTCCAACATAAATCAATTAACCAAAAACATTAATAATATCTGTCAAAATTAGTTAATAAATGCTTTAATTAAAAAAAAAAAATTGTAATCCAATTGTTAGAACTTAGAAGAGGGTAATTAAAATAAGTACTTTTATAGATAAATTCATCAACTTTTAAATTATTAGATTAAAAAAATCTTAATAGAATTAATACATGTGACACTTTAATTATATATGCGATACACAAAGTGATTGACTCCTTACACATACATTTGCCTAACTATAAAGTTTATTTAATCTAAAACATTAACTAACATATTTACCAATTTTTTTATTTAATGACCGAGGTGTTCGGACCAGTTTACGTGTACCTCAATTAATCTCCATAATCTATTAAATATCGTACAAGTTCAATATTTCAAGTTAAACCACAAACATGATAGATGATCTCAGGATAGTTGAAACCCAAAAAGTCAATGAAGAGAGCAAACATATTTGTGCTGGGCCAACTTCTTGGGGTTTATTTTTACCAAATTATTAATGGAATGAAGTTATGTCATACTTGAATATATATTTAAGATGATATACACATTGTTGAGCTTCAAAATAAAATAAAAAAGAAAGTCTTCACCTTCCATCCATAAAAATCCTTATAACTGTAGGTTTAGAGATGTCTCTTCTGCAGCTCAGCTTCTTTATTCAACACAACAGTGAAGCTTCGTTATCTTAATTCCTTTTTTTTTCACTGGTTTTTAAGAGGCTTTTGGTTGATTATATGTATGGTTACTTGGGACCTCTTTAGTTGTTCAAGACAATTTGCCCTTTTCATTCTTAATTATATTTAACCTTGTTTTCTAGCACCATCACTAAAACACAAAAACTCCACAAGCTCTTAACTGAAAGTTGAAAGTGTTAAACAGATGCTCATTCCTGGAGATGGAGATGTTGCTAATTAAAAAATCAAAGAACTGGGAAGGAGAGAGATGAAAGAGCATAAATCTACGCAAAATTAAAGTGATAATACAATACTAGTACTTGTACATGAGAATCAAACTAGAACGCTGAGGTTTCCTAAAAATTGTACAGTCCACACATATACACAAGGGAAGTGCATCTGCTCTTATTGACAAATTATTTGGTGCAACTAGTTATAGAAATGATGCTACATCCTAGACATCTTCATTCTTCAGTGTCACTCACACTAGGACGAGTATCGATGTAGACTTCCGAAGAAAAGTCAATTTCATCAACAATCCTCCCTCTGTTTTATATAAATGCAACAAATTTAACAAGTCAATGGTACTGCCGGCCAAGTGGGAAAAATAAAATTATACCTTCATTTACTATTTAAATAAGAAGTACCTTTCAAGAACAAATTTCCCTTCTTTATACTTCTGGCTTTTCTCATGAGCTGCCTCCTGCAAGGATTGATAATGGTAGGAACAAGTTACCAAGAGCTAGCATGAACAGAAAGAAGGTAGCTGCTTATGTGTGTGTGTATGTGCATGAGACGAAGAAACACAGGAAGATGTATTACATATTTCCAGCCAACAATTTGGCCACAACAGCAGCAAAATACATCTCCCACGGTATGCATTCCTGAAAGCATCATCCTCTCCTCTAAAGTTCCAACTGTGACGTTCACCCTGAAATCAAATGCCAATGAGAACAATTAAATTTAGGAGCATACAGCTTGATTATGATTCATTCCTCTGAAATATATTTATTTAGGGAAAAGACTAGAAATGAGTCTACATGATTTCTCTCTTGCATCAGATATGGATGACCAAAAAAAAGGTATCAGTCACTATTACAGTTTCTTCTGAAACAACAAATTAATTTCCTAGTATTATTTACCAGTCCTAGTGAAGGTATAAATTTATAGCATGGTATGATGATCAAGCGAGAAATGAGCGCTGTGATCTCAGGTGAAGTTACCTCCTTCAGCTGGCCGGTATTTTCATGCCTATCTTCTAGTTTGTCCATTATCACAACATTATCACACAGTTGTTTTGCATTTGACTTAGCTTGTGTGACTGTACAACTGAAATATGTACTAAAGAAAAAGAAAAGCATACAATATGTTGAAACAATGTAGAAGTACAGCAGCAATATGCAAGCCAGGAGCCTAATCCAATTTTATTTTAGTATAAACAGCACCATAACATTGACAACTTAAGAAAAAAAATTGAAACCTAAAAAATTCAACATGTTCTGTAACAAAACAATCCGTGAAAGAACTTTATAGAACTTACGCATTATTGAAGAGGTATGCTTTTCCTCTGCGACAATGAAAAGCCTGAACAAATCAACCAAAAAGAGTTTATCAATCCAGAAGAGCAGCTAAATCACAATTCCAATATATCTAGAATGAACTTAGAACAATCAACAATTTCGAAATCATATAGAAAATGTAACGAAATGTTGCATGATAAATTGGATAAATTAGTGTATGCCTAGACCTAGAAAAGAGGGCTGGGGCAGGGTGACCCAAGGCCAGTCTATCTGTTTGTTTTAACAGTTGAGTATTATCCTGATGATTGGAGAAAGTAAATGAAAGGGTTGAATTTTTCTTTCGATCAAGAGTTGTGATATATTTAATCTAATCTTCAAAGACGATTTACTTCTTCGAGATGGTAAGCTGAATGGTATGTCTATCAAAGGAAGCTTTGGTGATTTGTTTACACAAATGAATTAAGCTCTAATATGCCCTCTCAGGTGCAAATGTCAAATTACTTAATGCACTTATCACGGTGATCAAGCACAAACACAAATTCAAAAACTACAGAAAAATTTCCATTTCCCTGAGCCTCCTCTGGAGTTCAGGAAACTGTCATGAGCAACTGAATAACGCACGGGAAGAATATACCTCCATTGAGTTACAGTAAACTTACTTTCCTGACTAAAAGAAGCAAACACACTTGTATGATTATTTATGCACTCTCTTTAACAAGTGAACTTCAACATAATTCTTGATCATTTAAGCACTTCAAATATCCGATAAAACATGATATAAATTACAAATCTTGGTGATTTATTTCCCATTTCCCTCACACATTCTTACTTATAAATACACAAGCTCTACATAATAAACCCAGATCAACTCAACAAAATCCCTTAACCAAGACAATCACTTTTCATGTTCAAGCAAAGACATTTGCAGCCAAAGACTAACCAAAAAATTCATATAATTCTAGACTTAATTTATACAAACACTAACAAAATCAATTTAAAAAAAAAAAAAAAAAAAAAAAGAGAAAAAAAAGGACTACCCTGGAAGCAAGATCTTCAGGAAGGGCCAAGTGGGTTTTGCAGAATTTGCATCTATAAGACCTTCCTTCTAGCTCCACCACAAAAATTCTTCCCATCTTCTTCTTCTTCTTCTTCTTCTTGTTGGGGTTAAGTTCAGAGAGAGGAGTTCCTGACACGGTGACACATGCCTTTGTGTTAAAGGAGTTTGGTTTCAGACAGTGTTGAAGATAAGAGTTGGGTGTGTCAATTGGGCAAGCTCCCAATGTCCTGTAAAATTATGAGTTGAGGTGGGCTGGGGTTGTTACAGCCCACTCAATCTTCTGGTTTTCACCATCTCATATATGTCAATTGGGCCAAAGGTTGGTGACTTGATGATTTACTTCCATGTAGTTTGTTTGTTTTATGATATAATGGTTGATATTCTTTTTATTTTTTTCAATCTTATTTTCACCAAACTCATTCGCACTCTCTCAAGTTTTAAAATATTGTGACACATAACAACCATTGGGTCCACTAGGTGGCCTAGCCGTCAACTAAGACTCTTGGGTGTATTACTCAAGAGGTCATGAGTTTGACTTACCTAGGTTGCTAATAGAGGTAGCCACTGAGAAGATTTATCCGACTGTCAACTTTAAGGTCTAGGGGATCAGTTAAGGTATGCGCAAGTTAGCCCAGACACTCTCGATCACCAAAAAAAAAATATTTGTGACACATCTAGATTACGATTTTGATACCATAGAATCCATACCATAGTCAAGGTCCATTTGTTTCAATATTTTTCCCTATCCTATTCCTATCATTTCCAAAATACACATTTATTTCCCTATTCTGAAAAATATTACTATATTTTATTCAATTATTTTTTAAATCCCCTAAGTTTGTTAATTTAACTAAACACCCTCCAAAAAAAAGTTTAGAAATTGACAAAAAACACTCCCACCACTCATATTTGCTAGATTCCGGCCACCACCACCGCAAGGTGGTTGAAATCTAGTATAATACTATAATGGAGCACTACCAGTTGAATCTAGTCGGTATTCTACCGATATAGCCTTTTTCGGCCAGATCTACCGTGGACCTAGCCAAAAAAGACTAGATCTATGGCTAAAGATCTACCGTGGACCTAGCCAAAAAAGACTAGATCTATGGCTAAAGATCTGGCCGTTGATGGCTAGATCTTTGGCCGTAACTAATCGTCAATAACGTCGTATTTTTGACTGTCGTTGACAATCAAATGTGATCTGGCTAGATCCACAATGGATCTGGCTAAAAAATGTCATCTCGGTGCACGATCAGCCATATCTAGCTAGTTGTGCGTCGATATGGCAACTCCGGCCACCTTCCGGCGATGGTAGCTAGCTACCGGTATTTAATAGGTAGGTGAAGGTGTTTTTGTAATTTTTAATATTTTTATTACAAGGGTATTTAGTAAATTAATAAACTTATGTGATGTTTTTGTTAATTTTTAAATCCTACCTCGTTATTCCCACTCAACTTTTACTTTTTTAAAAAGAGCAAACGACATAATCCCACCCGAAGTTTGGGGAAATCCCAAGTTGGTACCACTGGTTCAATTTATCCCGTTTTGCCACTCTTAATCTAACACCGTTCACTTGGTTTTAACAGCAAAAGGGTAAATTAAAAATGACATTAGGATAAATTAATTCAAATAATAAAGAAGCCTAGGGAAATGTTGCCAATTAAATTCAATAATAAAAAATAATAAAAGCCTAGGAATGTTGCAAAATTGTAAGTAAGATAGTATGACGGCTGGAGTATTGCAATGTCAGGTGAAATTTTTTTTTTTTCTCTAATATCTTTCGTTTTCTCTTTCAAATGAAAATGCTTCTCTGAAAAACTAACCCATAGACATTAACCCACGAACCTCATCACTTGTGAACAAAAATTGCAGCATAATCCTTCTGACCTTCTTCCCATCCATAGTCGAACTCGTAAGCCTCACCGAATCCTTGCGCTGTTTTTTTCTGCTTTGACTCCTAAACGAAACGACAACCAAACCTAGACCCATTAACCCGAAACATCGTACCGGTCGCGCAAACACAACCTTGGGAGGAATACAAGCCATTAACGAGAAGAGAAATTCGTCGGTTAGAGGAAGACGAACGACGGGTAAAGAAAGACAACAGTTCGACGAGATGGACGATATGGCGAAGTGGTCTGTAACAAGGTATCACAGTTTATTTACGTATTTTTTTGTATTGGTTTGTGTTGGATTTTTCGTGGATTGGCTTTTTTGTTATGGTTGTGGTGGTGGTGATTGGTGTAAAGGTTGTGGTGGTGGCGTTAGGGTGGTTATTGGGTGGTGGTTGAGGATTAGTGGTGCATGTTTGGTGGTTCAATGGGGTATGTTGGTGGTCGGTTGGTAACGGTGATTGTATAATGGCGTTAGAGTGGTTGTTGGGTGGTGGTAAGATGGTGATGGTGGTAGTATGAGGCTTTAAGACTACGGTTAGGGTTTTGGTGTAGTGGTGGTTTAGGATATTGGTGTTGCATGGCCGTGTGTAGTATTGGTTGTTGTGTGTATATGGTGACATAGTGGTGGTATAGTTGACAGTGGTGTTAGGGTATTAGGGTCTGTGGTGGTATAGTGGTGATGGTGGTATTAGGGGGGCTTTAGGATTAGGATTAAAGTTTTGGTGTAGTGGGGGTTTAGGATATTGGTGTTGCATGGCACTGTTAGTATGGTGGTGGTGGTGTATGGTGGTATAGTGGTGGTAGAGTTGATGGTGGCGTTAGGGTGATTTTGGTATATTGGGGGAAACCAGTAACTGGCTTAAATGCTGCTAGCAGTGGTTGACGACATCTGGTGTAACAATGCCACGTACCTTGGGTGGTGGTAGGGTGGTGATGGCTGTTGTAGGGTGGTGGTAGTTGATTTTTTTATGGTGGGTTGGGGAGATTTTTGGTATATTGGCTGGAAAACTGGTAACTGTCTTAAATGCTGCCTAGCAGTGGTTGACGACATCTGGTGTAACAATGCCACGTACCTTGGGTGGTGGTAGGGTGGTGGCAGTTGATTTTTTTTATAATTGCTTGGTTGTGTGTGTTTATACAGGCTTAACCAAATTCCTATGACTTAAAGTTGAAGTGTTTAATTTAGAATATGAAATACTAAATGTTGATCCGGATGAGTATAGTTATATATGTTTATTAAAGATGTGAACGATGTGGGCTTCGGAGAATGAGGTTGTCGAAATGACCCTTATGAGAAGTTAAGGTAGAGGTTAAGCTACCCTTGTCAGGGGCTAGATACATGGGGGAAGGGGATGATGATATGGAATTTATATTTGAGCAATAAGAGTTTTGGCAAGCGAGTGATAAGAGTCTAGTAGAAGCCATACCAGTGGACTTTATGAACGTAGAACTTTATTAGTAGCCCAACCAGAGGACAATGAGGGTTTTTGGAGCAGGATAATGAGGAAGCGAAGAGGATATTCCAGATGAGTTCTATTGGAGTGTTTGGAGTGTTGAAAGTGATGAAAGTGATCATGAGAAAGACCATGAGAGTGGGCAGGATGGACAGGGAAGTGGGGTGGTTGAAGGAATGGAAACTGGACAGGAAAGGGGGTGGTAAGGAATTGAAATTGGGCAGGAAGTGGTGGGGTTGAGGGAAATCAAACTGGGCAAGGTAGTGGTGGGGTAGAGGACTGAAGTTCAAGGGAATGTCTGAATACCATGAGGACAGTTCATATGAAGGGTCTACTGATGATGAAGATGCAGTAACTAGGTTAGCAAGCACATGAAGGGTCACAGTTTGCATATGGGGATAATGGGAAAATCCACTTCAAAGTTGGTCAAGTGTTTGAGGGAGTTGATCACTTTAGGAAGGTGTTTCGAGATTATGTAATTCAGAGGGGGTTTTCTGTTAGGAAGATTCACAATGAGAGAAGAAGATTTAAGGCTAAATGTAAGCAAACAAACTGTCCATTTCATCTATATGCTTGCTTTGATGCCTGATGATGTGTCTTTTCAGTTAGGAAGTATAGGCACTTAAATACATGCACGAGGGTTTATAATAATAGAGAGGCAACAACTGCTTGGGGGGTTGAAAAAATGGGAGACTTCATCAGATCCCAAAAGGGTTCATCAATTAAGCCATTGTAGACGCGTTGGGTGGAAACACTACTACCGTTGTCTAGATCCAAACTTATAGAGCTAATAAGCTGGCAAATGGGAGGTCAGACAAGCCATGCAGAGTCCTTTACTGGTTTGTTGAAATATGATCACATTGTCAAACATACCAACCAGGTTCCATATATAATGTGAAATCTGTTAGTCCAGAAGGGATCCAAACTTTCAGAGTGTTTCCTAGGATTTGCAGCACAAAGAAAGAGTTATAAAGGGTTGTAGGCATTTTATAGGTGTGGATGGTTGCCATCTAAAGGGTCTTATGTGGGAGTACTATTGTCAGCAGTTCTATGGATGCTAACAGTGGCATTTTCCAGTAGCAATTACCATTTGTGAGATAAAAAACAAGGAATCTGGAGATACTTTATGACCTTGTTGAAGGAGTTTATAGGGGACATTGACCCTTCACTATCATGAGTGATAAGCAGAAGGGTTGGTGGATGCACAGACTTGTGGCCAAATGCTAGTGTTAGACATGTGCTAGGCATGTTTATGCTAACTTTAGGAAAAAATTCCCGGGTTGAGGTTAAGGAACTTGTTTTGGGTTGTTAGTAGGGTGCCAATATCATTGATTTTAGCAAGCCATGGAAAAGTTGAAGTTGTAGATAGAGAAGCTCATAGGTGGATAATTGAAAATGATGTGAGATCCTGGTCAAGGCATGCATTCGACCTTGATTCCAAATCTGATCATGTTACAAATAACATGTGTGAAGTCTTTATAGCTGGTGGGAGAGAATAGGAATTACCCATACTAAGCTTGTTAGAGCATTATAGGAGGAGGATTATGGTACGATGCAAGCTAGGGCAAAGGCTAGGAATGATTGGGTCACAAATGTTCCCCCTGTTGTACATAGGAAAATCAATGGTTAATTGAGTCTGCTAGGAATATTGAAGTATTTGGCCTGGAAGTGATGAGTTTGAAGTGGTGGATAACAACTGCCTCTAGTAGACACATCACATATTAAACCTTCAATCTCAAACTTGTGACTGTGGAATGTGGCAACTTTCTGGAGTCCCTTGTGTGCATGCAGTCCGCTGTTTGCTTTTTAGGAACATTAGAAATATGGAGGATTATGTGGATCTTCATTAAGGATCACTTCATACGAAAAAACATATGCTGATCACATTCACCCCATACTTGACCCACTTAGTTGGCCTGACTTGCTTGGGGGTAGGCAGCTGAATCCACCTATCAAACATACCAAGGTTGGGAGGCCCCAAAAAGGCTAGAAAAAAGGATGCTGATGAAGAACCAAGGATGAACAAAGGTGCAACACTTAGTGTGGGATCTGTGAACTTTAGGACATAACAGAGACGCTACCCACAAAATCATTCAAACAACAAGAATCAAAGGGTATTTTAAAGCTTTTATTAACGTGAATAGTATTGTTTTTGTAATAGATTTGCTGCATTAACATTGTTTTCTATGCTTTGTTTAGAGAGGAGAAGCTCATCAGCCCCAACAAGTTAGACATGTCAACATTGAAGCAACTGTCAAGGATAGCAGGTTAGTGTAACATCAGTCCTTCAAATTTTAACATTGTGACATTGCTTCAAACTGTCAAGGGCAGCCCTTAAATTGATTTTATGATTTTTTTCAGGTACTTAAGGAGTGTGGAGTTGAAGCATCATTTTGTTTTTGGGTGTGTTAAAACTGTAGAAGCATGATGTTGGTTTTTTTGGATGTGTGGAGTTGAAGTAGCTGCTGTATTTTGTAAAATCTGGGAAAGTTGTACATAGGACTTGTTTGTTAGTCTTGGCGTGCAAAGCTGCAAATATGGGTGTGATATGACAGATAGCAACTGATTTAAGTTGTCTATTGTGAATGTTGTAATTGATTTAGGACTGCTGCAGTAGGTTTTTTTGATGTAATATGCAGCTTTAATTTCTTTTTTTGGGCTGTTGATCATCACATTTCAAGGCCATTTCAAGGCCAAATTATGTATTTTTCATATATATATGTTCAATGCAAAAGTGTTGTTCTAGTATGTATGGTTTTAGTATGATCTTTGATGTTGGTTTTGTATAGGATGTGTTTGTGTTCAAACTTGAAACTTTTCAGGATGTATGTCAATTTTTAAGAAATATTACTTTGCCTATACAGCTAAACCCTCAACATTCAAACAATTGTGCTGAACTTCAAACGGTCTAGGGGCATTAGGGTAATTTCACTTTTTTGGAAAATAAATAAATATAGGGGCATTTTTGGTTTTTTACAGTCTATTTAGTTTATTTGTTAAATAATCTAAAGTCAAAGGTTCAAGGGTATTCAGTCATTGTTACTCATTGTCACTGTGTCAGATGCCTCGTTATTAACACTGGAGAATAAGGGTGACAAAAAAGGATAAATTGAACCAACCGTATTAACTTGGGATTTCCCCAAACTTCGGGTGGGATTATGTCGTTTGCTCTTTTAAAATATATCAAAATACTCAAAGAAACACACGTGATGATTCTACATCTCTAGTTTTTCTTTTCTCATCTATATTTAAATTAATCATGATTGATATAAAATCCAAAGGGATCTTAACTTGAACGTAATTAATTTTCTTTTAAACTGTTATATGTGATGTTTTTCTATCAAATTTTGTTTAGCAAAATTTGAGGTCAATAATTTAGGCTTCAACCACCAAACATACTCACATGCAAAGGGGAAGCTAGTTAAGGAATTGAAAGAATAAGCAAAGCTAAGCTGGCCTAACCTAACTAAAATCCTATATCCAAGCAGAGTAGGAAAAAATCTGCCGCGGTCAAACAAAACCGATTTTAGGTATCCCTATTCCCTACACTTACCCCACCACCTTCAGCAGCACTTTTAACGGACAGGCCGGTCACCTGACAGCCCAACAAACTACGGTTTTATTGCGGGTCACACACACCACATCACAGCACATCAGCCGCCCCAATTCAAGCCCCACCCTACCAACATTTTTATTTAATTTAAACCCCTATCTTTAATTACATCGCCACGTGGCTTTCATCTAACGCTTCTCTCTTACTCTATCGCCGACGCGCCGGCTTAAATACCTCTGTCACCTACCCACACGTCACGGCCAGACCCCCTCACTTCCTCTGTGTCGTCCGTACATGTGCCCATGTGAATTAGTGAGGTGGAGGAATAGGATTCGTGTGTGGTGTCTGTATCATGGTACCAGTGCATGGAACTCATGCATGGATGTAGTTGTTATAAAATTTAATAAATGAAAACTTTTTATAAAGGATAAATAAACAATCTTGTTGGTGGATTCCAGACGACACGATGACTGGGACCCATCAAGTGCGGCCGCCGCGCCTTCTGTTATGAGACTGTTTCACACGTGGATGGATTTTTTTATTTATTCAATATATGGTCTTAGGTTCTTTTCTTGCAAGCCCGGCCTATTTTGAGGTTTTTCATTTTGGTACCTTTTAACTTTTAAGTGCCTTTTCCTCTTAACTCTTTTTTATCTTTGACTTCACAAAATAATAATTAAAAACGACTTATAATTTTTTTAGAGTTTATTATATTTTCCCTTGTAGCTTGTCGGATCGATTAGTATTAAATTCGTTCGTTTTATTCAAAAAACGTTAAATTTTGTCTATAATTAGTAAAAACTCATTAAAAATGCCAAACACTCTCTTACAAAATTATTAAAAAAGTTATATAATTTTTTTTGTTATTAATTTTATCTCATTAATAAATTTTGATAATCTATATCTTATCAAATTTAAAACATGACCATCCTTTTAACTACCAAGTAGGCAAGTACACGTGGTTTTTCTAAAAAACACAGTAATTAGTTGAAAAGTTGGGGCCAAATGTAATAAAACAAATTTTTAATCGGACGGTCGAGGTCCACGTGAAGACAACCCGAATCCCAACATGTACCTCGTCAACACGGAATTACTCTAACGTGGCCCCCACCACTTAGCAGCTTGCCGTCTGATTCGCTCTAACCGGTTACATTGTCGGTGCCGCCTCTATTTAAAAAACTTCAATTAAAATGAAATCGATATATAGGCACAAACAATTACTTCTATACAACGGACCCACACGATACCTATCAAATTTCATCCGTCGGATCCTGAGATCCTAGAGATGCATGATAGGTAAACCGGAAACGAATAAGTATGTGAATCACGAGGACATTGAGTGCGGGCCCGCCTTGGTTTCTCATGATGAGGCCGCTCTCTTTCTTTCTCTATTGGATGCGTGAGTATGTGGCTAGAGATTTTTTTTTAAACGAGAATAATTACTCTTTTTTTATTTTCTTTTTATAACAAGTTACGTGGTGAAGTTTCGTGGCGTCCGTACAAGAGTGGGGACAATGATGACGTGAGCACGCAAATATTAATAGCGTGACTCCGAGTCCCTCGCTGGGCTGCTAAGAAACCAAAAATAAAAAAATAAAAAAATAATGATAAAAAAACACCCACGCCATGAAGCCTCCCCAGCCCTCACCCATGACCCAATAATGCCGGCGACATGTCTGTTCGATCATCAATGCACTTATATCATAATATCTTCCATTTATTTTTTTCTTTTTTAAGAATTACGATAAAAAATATTTGAATTCTGATGGTACATATACCCGACAAATGAAGATAATCATGGAACAAAGATTCACCATTGTTAAGAAAAAGAAAAAAAATACTATGTTCTTCAACACACAATAAAAATTATAGTCCTTGGTTTACAACATCTCGAATTGGATTCGATGATAAAAGATTGAAATTGTAATATCTTATTTCATATCCGGGAGTGTACGTATTTGACTTCAAGCCTGATGGTGTAAAAATCTTTCTCAGGTTGTATCTTTTTTGTTGATTTTCCAGGCAACGAAACAAGAGCTACACTGATAAACAAGCCTTCCACTAAAGACATAGTGATAACTGATAAATAAGAAATATTCTCTCGGTTTTGATTTATAGAAATATCAAAACAGATGACTGATACGTACTGACAATCATCGTCAAAACAACACTAAGAAAACTTTTCATAGAAATTTTTTCCGTTGCAAAAATAGGAAGATCGACCCAATCTTGACGCTCTTCAGTTACTATATACACAAATATCCATTATCTTCTTCATCCGAACCTGTCAGTTATCAAACTACTAAAATACCCAACAAAACTCATGCAACTTCGGGTGGGGGAGGGAGGTTAAGATCAAGATTTAGATTCACCAATGTCCTCTCCGAACTGTGGTGATGATCGTAATCGACGACACCGGATGACGAATCCGAGTCACTCTGGGCGGTCCCCACTGGACGATCAAACCTGCACGAGTCGCGTGAGAACACGTCGAAAAACAAAACCGGACGTCCAACCGCGACGGGGTAGCACCCCACCCCGAGGCTCATTTGGTTGAAGTCTACCGCCTGAGACGACGGTTGAGAAGGCAGCGGAGGTGAGGACGACTCCACGGTGCTGCTCTGGCTGGGGCTGCGCGTGAAGGTGGTCTCCTTTGGGGTGGGGAAATTGGTTTTGGCTTTCACGCCACGAAACTCACGCGCGGCCGCATCGTAGGCACGCGCTGCCTCCACTGCAGTGTCGAATGTGCCGAGCCAGACACGGGTTTTCTTCCCCGGGTCGCGGATCTCGGCGGCGTAGCGACCCCAGGGGCGCTTTCTCACGCCTCTGTATCGGATCTCCATGGAGTTCGATCTCAGGTTCGGGTTAGCCGGCGGGTTGCTGGGCCTTTCTCTCGGAGCCATAGTGGTAAATATTACTCTTTAAAGGAAGAGAAATAACAGAGAAGTTAGCTCTTGAAGAAGAGAGACAGGTTGTGGCGGCTTTTATAGAGGAGGAGGATAGAGGGAGATAAAGCGACGTCGCTTTTGGAGGAGAGAGAGCTTGCTCGCTTGTTGGGTACAGTCAAAGCAAGGGATGTGGCTTTTCTTGCACGAACTGAGTTCAGTTGAATTGTGTTGGCTAATAAGATGTGCCACGTGTCAACTAAAGTGATTCTTCATATCTTTGCATTCAAGTGATTGGTTTTTATTTTAATCTGCATGTGTATAAAGGCTATTTCATAAGTTTTGGTCAAACTTACATAATTAGTACAAATTAATTTCTCTTTAATTCACCGTGGATTTAGTAGATGAATTTTTTTTGAATATATATGGAATTAATTTTAATTTCGAGGGGGCCCCGCAAAAGCGCTCCTGGCATGCCTCTCACGTGCCACAAACAGCGCCTAAGGTAATTACGCGGCTCAGTCAACGAGGAGTTTGACTCAATTGTTAACAAAATTATTGTGGGCTCTAGACGCCCAGCCGCAGCAGCCACTAGTAGTTCCCACTGGGAATGATAACACATCGACACGTTGCAGCGGTCTTTTTGAAAACGTAGCGTCAGCGGGCTCCAATGGTCGGCGCAGGATAACGGCGGTTATGACGGTGTTTGTTTCTTAGTCGCTTCGTAAGAAACGGAAATAACGGCTGCTTTTTTCGCTACCTTATTTTATTTTAATTTTTAATATTTTGCTTTCGTAACTATAGTTGAAGATTGTTCTGTATTCTCCGGCCTCTCGCCGCGGAACCGGTTCGGATCAGCCCGACCGCTTAGATGTTGAGTGGTTGAATTGTGATGAGGTGTCTTCATATAATTGACACGTGGTTCTCAAAAGTCCACGACAATATTGACAATGAAAGCACGATGAATTCTAGGGGTAAAATTATGGGACGTACACATATCTTACCATTAATAGCGAATACCAGTCAAAAAAAAAAAAAAAAAAAATTGTTACAAAATTTCTTTAATTATTTAATATATCGAAACTATATTACCCACATTTAGCACAAAATAATAGTTTTGTTATTAATGAAGATAATGATAATTATTTAGGTTTTGAAGATTAATTATCAAGACAAAATTGGGTCTTGTAAATTTCCTTATTCCTTTGAATAGTTTGTTTGTATGAAAATGGAAAAATAATTGAAGTGAGAAATTTCTCAATTACGGCTTGAAATTTATTAGTATATATTTTACCATAAGTCACCAATCAACATCTCTACTCTCTTAGGCCTATCTTTACCAACTGCCACCAACCAAATCTAATTTAATATTAGGTGTAATTTATATTAAATTTTAAGTGAATTCATTGTATTGGGCACAAAAATTGGGAAAGGTCAAAATATTCGTATTGTTAACTATTATTGGGTAGTGGAGTGGTCAATTGAGATTTTTAAGTGTATTATTCAAAAGATTATGAGTTCGATTCACCTCAACTACTTATAGAGATAATCACTGGAGCTCTTCACTGACAGATAGTTTCAGGATTTCAGGGGATTAATTAAGGTGCGCGCAAACTAATCCGAACACCCCTAATCATAATATATATATAACATTCATATTCATTTTTAACAAAATAAGTTATATTGCCAGCGTATTGTATTATGAGGTAAAGCTTAATACAATATCATAGTGATCCATTGGTACTAATAAGATATCAATTACTCTCTTGTAATGACCCAAGTGCAACTTTACTCCACGAGCCACACCATCAAGGAGTTTATCGTCTTAAATCTTCCCAATTATTATTATTTTTTAAATAAATGCTACAAAAATCTATTTTATATTACACTTATGACTTATTTAATCTATCAAATAATGTCTATTTTTACACCATCTAATATTGTCGGCATATATTTTAGGACACACATTTTGTTGGAGTATTTAGAGTAAGGAACAAGTAGAAATAATTGGCAACCACATAGCTAAAATTGAAGCATAGTCCCACCTGTAATCAAAAAGAGCAACATTACCAAATTTTGAACCACTCCCTACCCTTTCTATATTAAAACAATTACCCACATTTACCACTAAATAACACCTCTTGTTATTAATGAAGATAATGATAATCTCTTGAGACCATCTATTACCTTATTCCTTTGAATAGGTTCTATAAAAAAAAAAGAAATTCATTTAGATGCCAAATTTCTCAATTAGGGCTAAAATTTATTGACAGATATTTTACCATCTATGACTAATCAACATCTCAGCGAATCTTTCCCAACTCTCATCAATTAAGTCTAATCTAAAATTAGGTATTATTAACCACCATTGGATGACTTGATAATAAAACAGCAAAGTTTAAGTCCCCCCATACCCTAATAGGGATGACCACTGGGGTACTTATCTTTGACAGTTACAAAACTTTGAGGGATTAATTAAGGTGCGTGTAAACTAGCCTGAGCACCCTTGATGATAAAAAAAAAAAAAAAAAAAAAATTAGGTGTCATTAATATTAGACAATAGATTTGGGTTTTTTTCTTATTTAAAAATAAATTTATTTTATGGACTCTAATTAGAGAAATGTAGTTAATAAAAATATCATGATTTGAGGAGAATTTTCAATTAATAATTATTGGGTTAAGGGTAAAGAGATTGATTTTTGATTTAAGACGAATTGGGTAATGTTATTGAGAAGAAAAACTAAAGGTCCGTTTGGTTGGGGGTGGGTAATGTTATTGAGAAGGAATATTTTAAATTAAGTGCTTTTATGAAAAGCACTTTTTTAAAGAACCTTTTTTTATTTGGCTTGCGTTCTTGCCTGAGGACCCATGTTTCAAAGTTCAAACAAGGCTAAGTCCGACTAAATATACTAAAATGCGTAGTCCGCAATTTCGACCGTCGATAGCATTTTCCCGGGAAAATCTTCAACAGAAATTCAAATTCTACATTCAATTCACAAACAAACCCTCAATAAAACAAATCTCTTATTACTCCATCATTTCACACGAAACCTTAAATCCTTACCTTAACCCCATTAACAACTTCCTAGGCAAAACCAGAACCGCTCTGTTTGTTCACTCCCTTGCTAATACTGACAATCACGCTAAGTTTCAACAATACCCAGATGGTGAAATTGTGTCAAAAGTCCAAAACATTCTCAAGAATCATGGAACTAGCTCAGAACAAGAGATTGAGAATGCTCTAGCTCAGTGTGAGCTTGATCCGAGTGATGATTTGGTTATAAATGTACTCAATCTAAACCGTTTTGATTGGAAGCCGGTGTACTTATTTTTCAAGTGGGTCTCTAGAAGAAGTGATTATTCACCTGGATGTAATGTTTACAATGAGATGCTTGATATTCTTGGGAGAACCGGGCGTTTTGAGGAATTGATCCAAGTGTTTGATGAAATGTCTCACGGAGAGGGACTTGTGAATGAGAGTACATATGGAATCCTGCTTCGCAGATACGCCGCTGCACATAAAGTAGAGGAAGCAATTGGTATCTTTAATAAGAGGAAAGAATTTGGGTTCAATGATGACCTGGTTGCTTTTCAGAGTCTTTTGATGTGGTTGTGTAGATATAAGCATGTGGATGATGCGGAGACGTTTTTCGAGTTGAAGAAGAAAGAGTTTGGTTTTGATATAAAGGCAAGGAATATTATTCTCAATGGATGGTGTGTATTGGGTAATGTACATGAGGCCAAAAGGTTTTGGAAGGATATTATTGCGTCTAAATGTGAGCCAGATTTGTTTACTTATGGAACTTTCATAAATGCGCTAACAAAGAAAGGGAAATTGAATCCGGCAATGAGGTTGTTTCGAGAAATGTGGGGGAAAGGGTGCAAACCAGATGTGGTTATTTGCAGTTGTGTCATTGATGCACTTTGTTTTAAGAGGAGGATTCCTGAAGCTTTGGAAGTTTTCAGGGAGATAAATGAGCGAGGCTGTCTCCCAAATGTCTCTACGTACAACTCACTTATCAAGCATCTATGCAAGATTCGGAGGATGGACAAAGTATACGAGCTTTTGGATGAAATGGAACTGAAGAAAGGAAGTTGTTTGCCTAATGACAGAACTTATAATTACCTGCTCAAGTCCTTGAAGAAACCCGAAGAAGTTTCTGGGGTTTTGGAGAGGATGGTGAGAAATGGATGCGAGATGAGTAGTGACATTTACAATCTGATTCTGAAGCTGTATATGAACTGGGATTATGAAGAAAAAGTAAGATATACTTGGGATGAGATGGAGAAGAAGGGGTTGGGACCTGACCGGCGATCTTATACTATTATGATTCATGGGCTCTATGACAAGGGAAGGTTAGAGAATTCTTTATCTTATTTTCATGAGATGACATCGAAGGGAATGGTACCTGAACCAAGAACTGAGATATTGGTGAATGCCATGAACATCAAGTTGAAAAAGAAAGAAGCAGAACACGACAAAGTGGGTGAAGCAAAGGATGAGAAACCATTGAGACCTATGCATAAAAGAAAAAAGAAGGTAAAAACTAGATAGTATTTCTGCTTGAAGGTACTGTTACCTTCACTAACAAAACGATTGAAGCAGCATAATTCAAATATTGCATTCTCTGGACTTATGATTCGTAAGCATTGTTCGATGAATAGATGTCATGTAATGGCGTTGCCAAATTCTTGGAACACTGTAAACTGATTTTTGTACTTCAAGTGGAGAGAGTATTTTCTTCACCTCTTGTTGCAATCTATTTTGGTCTTGAAAAATACTAATAATTTTAGAATTATAATTTCATAGCAATAAGACTTTCAGTATTCATTATTCTCGCTCAATTATGTCACTGAAGTCTTGTGATATAGAGAAGAGACCTCTGGCACTTAAACCTCATCTGGTGAATGACAAATTTGTTTTCTCGACGACAATGATCCCTCATATCTGTTCAAGCTGCACTCTAGAGCTTATCAAATTCTTAAGACAATTGAACTTTTAAGTCAAGACCTATTGCACATTCAGAATCCGGAAACGAGTTCATGTGAATATATTTGGATATCAAATTCCTTTTAACATGACAGTGAGTATAATCAAGCTTCAGTATAAACCAAAAAGAAAATACAATCTTCTAATGTACTGAACCAGGAAAAACAACTATACCATATTGAAGAAGCAAAAGAAGATGGACATATGTAGTCTACCCTAACCAAAACTGGAATTTCATTCTCTCTCACTTCATTTTTACTTCAGCAAACTTAACATGGCGTTTTATAGTAGGGTCATACTTCTTGATATCAAGTTTCTTCATGTTCTTCGTATTCTTTTTCTTGGCGTAGAAAAATCCTGTCCCAGCTGATGAAGCAAGCCTGATTACTTTTACATTCTTCTTCTTCCTTGTCTCACCCCTACCTTTCCTTTTCCCAGTCCTCTTCCTCTTCCTCGTCCTTTTCTTCTCCGGATCACCACCCCTTTTTCTGCTCTTCATCTGTGGAGGAAAAAACTCTTGTCAGGAGTATTCAATTAGTTGTAGTTTATGGATGAATATGGTGCTTTTAGTTGAACAAAACAGGGGCCATGAATCGAAATACAACGCTAAAGCAGCAACTCTGCTGCAAGCAAGATAAACCCTAGAAAAAGCACAGCAATAGATCACTCAAATTACAAGCCAAACTTCTACATTTTCTCCAAGGAATTGACATAAAATAAACAAGCGAAAACATGAAAAAAAAGTTTAACTAAATGAACCCTTTGATCTCCCTTCTTGTCATTATATTTTTGCATTCAACATCTGATTAGCTCTTGCTTTCGATGGCTTTTTAGCTAATATAAGGCTATGTAAATTGAAGTTAACATTTTTTTCCCCAAAAGCTTAAGAAATGCTTTAGAAAATATATATATATATAAAAAATGTTATAATGACAGCCAAATAAATAAACAAATCCATGAAGAAAAATGAGTTATCAAAAGTGGGTATACCTTTCTCAACCTAGAGTTGGGAGCATATCTTCTGGCCATGCAAATAACAGATTGACGGATTGGCCTTTCAACATTGATCATTGACAAACAACCTAATGAAAAAAACAATGAATAGAACCCAAAAGTTTTACACTTGAGATTGTTGGGACCAAAATATTTAACCCAAAACAAAAACTTGGCTCAATCGTGCAGGAAAACATTACTCCACATCTTGATTTTTTATGGGGTGAAAAGGGTTCTTTCATATATATATATATATATAAAGATCATAAACAAATTCAGGTGAGATAGAGCAAAGAGAGAGATTGGCTAAGTGAAAAAGATGTAACCTTTGAAGAAGACACTGTGAGTTAGAGTTGCGAAGAAACAGAGGGACCTCAGAGTGACCAGAGTTGACTGAGTGGAAAAGGAAGAGTTGGTACTGAGGATTGGGTTTCTTGGTTTGCACGAAAGAGAAAAGAAATGAATAGCAGATGACATTTCTCTCTTCCCTTTCTATTTGAAAGCAGAATTACAATTTCAAGTTGAAGCTTTACAAACTAGGATCTGGGTTTATCAATTTGCTATACAGTAAAATAGCAGAATCTGCACACCAGAATAATATATAAATAAAGCACTAAAGCAGTTGTGTGTTGTTTAATACAGAACATTTCCAAACTTAGTAGAGCCAATAAAAAAAAAGGTTTTATACGATTTTAAAAAAAAAAAATTGGTAAGAGTTTAAATTATCGATAAAAGACTTTTTATGTATTTTTCAAAATCCAATTTAAAATATATATATATATGAGCTCTTATTATGATTTACATGAATCATTTTTCTTTTTAATCCTTGCTATAAAATATAAACGTTATTCTATTTAATTTTAGTTTTGTAAAAACAGAAAGCAGCTTTTAAAATGGACCTTATATCTTTTATTAAAAAAAAAAAAAAAAAAAGGACCTTATAACTTCTTTCAATTCCCAAAACTGAATTAGAACGTCTGAAAATGTGTTTAAACATATTGGTAAGTCTTAAAGTTGCAATTTTGCTTCCAAATTTTGATTATCACTATGAATTTGAGAATTTTTAACCTTGTTTTTGCTTCATGACATGGGAAGTTTCATATTGAATTACCCATTATCCTCTCTTTACACTGAGTTTTAAGCATTATATCAACCTTATTTATGGAGCTGCAAGTCATTCATACAACACAATCTATTCTTACTTTCCCGTATTAGGATTCAGCGGTCCTCAACGTGGACCTTTATCCAGCCATGACCATTTGCAAAGTTAATGACATCTCTAATTCTAAATGCCTTAATAAAAGAGTGTCCTGGAAGAAGATGGAATACATTATATGATAACAAAAATGTCGAGCAGTTCACAACCTCTACATACGAAAACAGAAGACAATTCCCCACAGCTCCTTGTTGACTAGACAGTTTGTGCAGGAGCTGCCTCTGGGGTATACCAGCCATGGTGGATTTCCACAGCCTTTTTTCTTCTAGCAAGGCGAGACTTCCTGCGAGCTCCAGTATTCCTGTGAAGTGTTCCCACTTTTACTGCTTTGTCAATTACTGAATATGCCTCTGCAATCAGCTTCTCGATTGGAAGGACTTCCTCAGGTTGTGCTTCAGGTTTTTTCCTGAGCCCGTCCAGTGCTTCCAGAACCTGGAAAAACCAAATCAATGAAAACAATCACACATTTCATTAGGACAATCAGATTTCTGGATAGATTTTAAGAGCAAAATCTTACAGAAAACCCACCCCATCTTTTACTAGCATTCATCCAGATGGATTGCTATAGCATGCTAACTACACTAGCAATTTGTGAACACAATATACAACAATGTTTATATGCACAGACATATAACTGCATACATAAACTGATAAGAACGTGTGAGCTATAACCCACAATCAACAAACATATACAAGCACACACAGACACATGCGACAGAGAGAGAGAGAGAGAGAGAGAAATAACAGTTGCACATAGTCCCATAACAATAATCATCCATCCTGAGAAACTTAACTCCTACTGCTTTAGTGTGCCTCAAGAAATATCTTTATGAGCTAATTCTAAATTGGCATGAATATTGGAGTTCCCCTATGGATGAGGATGCAGGAAGCAAACATACTATTCCCTTAATAAGTACTAGGTAACATGGCCATATTTTGTGCTCAAGAAGTACCACCCTAGACGGAAATATTTACTTTCATTTGAATCCACATGTGTGAAGAAGAAAACACGGTAAGGAAAAAGCTAACAAATTCTTCCATTTATTCAGTAATGCAGCACAGGCAATAAACAAGTGAAAAAACTCATATCTTACACGACCATGTCCTGAATGCAATTGTTAAACGGATATAAGTGTCTCATTATAGAAATATGTGAAACAGTTAATGAAATCCACCTACTTTGCTAATAAAAATTAGCAATTATAATTGTCGGATTGAGATGTGGTTAACTCTAAAACAATTCAATGAATCGTAGACAACTAGCACTTGTTACTATTTCTCTTCGCTCCACAGAAATATAAATGAGCAGATAATAGCAGCCAAGGATCTATATCTTTTATACGCATCATAGGATTTTAGAAATTGATCTTGGGAAAAAAAAAAAATATCCTCCATCTGTGAAAAAGACATCAATTACCCATAACACACCAAATAGTACTGAAAGCTACAAGAGATAAGACACTTTGCAACATAATTCCCAGTATTTTTTTTTCTCAATATATTAGAAAAAAGAGTGAATAAGCAAACAGCATCCATCTCAAACATAACTTTGCAACAATGATACCTTCTTCATGCGGGTTCTGACTTCGGATTTCTTAGATTTGTTGTAAATGCGCCTTTTCTCAGCTTGACGGGCTCTTTTTGCAGCTGAATCAGCTTTCTTCGTTGGAGCTGCCTCGCAGACAACTGAATGATGAATTGGCCTCTGGATTGTGCTCATTGTCAAAGACCCTAAATCCACAACACACAAGGAAATTCACTCAAAAGCATCCAACCAAACTAATTGAGTTATTTTGGTTATTAAAAGACTCAAATATGACCGAACTACTTGTGAAATGGGGTTCGCATAAATCAAATTTAACATTTTTCTCTAGAATCAACTCCACCGACCAAACAAAGGACCTCGTAAACAAAATTTAGCGTCTTTGTCATAAAAAAACCCAACTTTATTCAACGACAACAACTACCGCACTAAACTGAAATGAGTTTTTCTTATTGCAAATACCTTAAACCCCGGAATTGAAACAGCAGTATCCAACATTATCTCAAGCATTTTCTTGCAAACCAAACAGAAACAAGAAAAAGAACAAAAAAGAGCGAAATAAAGAGATGGGCGTGTAGAGTTATAAGACATTACCTTTGGAGAAGAGATTGGGAGAGAGGTTGGAGGAGAAGCTGAGAGAGGTGAAAGGGGCCAAGTTTGAGTGATGACTAGAAGAGTTGTTGTTTAGTGAAAGGGTTTTGAATTTCGACTGAATGTTCAAACAAGAAGAAGATAAGCAGTGGATTGCACTTGCCATCTCTTCGGGATTTGATTTCGCTTTGCTTTCCTTTGCTTTGCCTTGTTTTTGTTTATCCACTCAAGAAGGGTGGGAATGGCCTGGATGGTGATTTGTGAAGTAGTTTTATCTCATCCTTATCAGAAAACGACTTGTCGCTTCAATATTCAAGATTTCCGCTACGACATGTCGTTTCAATACGCTGGAACGATTTATCCTTTTAAATCACTGGTCTAATGCTAAAAATTGCTTTACATTGGCTGTTTATATCAATTTCTGTGATATATCCAATTAAGGGTTTAATTAATGCTCTCTTATAATAATTATTATTTTATTTTCACTATAAATAGACTACCACGACTTTTTTCCACCAAAATAATAGTGAGTGATACTTTTTCCACTTATAAACTTTTAAAATATCACTTTATTACTCAAATTTATATTTCAACAACCAATATAGAACAAACTCATTTCAAGTTATTGAGGCTTTAAGAGGGAAGGCTGATGAGTCTTTTGGTGATGGAATATTGAATTTTAATAATTGAGATTGATCAAAATTTGAAGGTGGGATTTCAATGATTGAGATTGATCCAAATTTAACTTGAAAGAAACGATTATGCAAATCTTAATCGCTCAATTACTGACAATTGATATGGTCAACGGGAGTAGAGTTTAAAGGGTTTTGATGTGTGATGAGTAGAGAAGAGTATGATGGTGGTGCAGAATTACAACGATGCCAAAATCGAAAACGAAATATAAAATTAGACAATAAAATCGTATTTTAAAAGTTTATAGATGTAACCAATATTTTAAAACCCGGTCCAACGCGGTTGGTTTAACCGGTTTAATCGAGACCCGGAAGCTTCAACGGATCGTGTTTATATTTTTCTTATTCACCCAAAACCCTAGGATGTGGGAGGATGATCGATGAACAATTGACGACTGGGATGTTGAGGCTTTTGAAGATAAAATGCCGGTGAATGCAATGGTGGTGACAGAGTTGATTTCCGGTGAGTAAATCGATCGGAAATCAAACAAAACTGGCAACGACAACAACCAGCTTTTGTTGACGATTGGCAAGACTAACAAGGATGGAGTGAGGTGCGCTTTGGTCGGAAGGAAGAGAGGAGTAATTTCTTGGTGATGGGTAGGATTATCGATGTCGATGAGATCTAGCCTAGAATGCAAATACCGGCATCAGTGAGATTTAGCCGAAATTAAACTTATTGGGTATATTTTTAGGGGAATGAGCTCAAGGGGTAATTTGGGTTGCATTTGGGGTGTTGCCGCCACCAACCAAACACCGACCGATTTGTATTTGAGGTGTGTTTACTAAATTTTAAACCTATAAAGACTTAATGTCATTGTTTGGAGTGTATTTACTGAATTTTAGAAGTTTTTGTCAAACTAGTTTGACCGCCGATCAAACCAGGACCGAGCAACTTTGCCAGGTGCACCCCGGGTTAGGTTTTAAAACATTGGATGTAACATTAAGCCATTATTTTAAGTGAAAAAAAGTCGTTTGCTAGTACAATATAAAGCATTAAGAAAGCTATTGTGTATCTTCATTATCAATTTTTCCTCGTTCAATTTTATAATAAAAAAGAGTTCATTTTGAACTCATTTCTCTAGCAGTCAACCTTTCAAAAAATTTCATCCCTCAAAATTTCCGTTCTTAAATTTTCAAAAATCTTCAACTACGAATGAGTTTTTCCCATATTAATTGATGGCTGAACCCACATTCTTCTCAGCACTGTTTCCGCAAGAGATATCAGTTTAGTCTAGAAATGTTTCTGCACACTGAATGTCAACCAAGAGGTGGAAATCCCAAATTGTACACACAAAAATTTATAAAGGCCGTGCAGTTCAGAGTCAACCTAGAAGAAGATATAGAATCTAAAATCTATCGGCTGTCATCACCACAGGTTGTGTTTCATATTGCTTTCTCGCGAGATATGGACCCCTTCTCACAGCTTCCTCCAACTACACAAGCATATTTCATTGTCAACGAGGGGAGACGAGAAAAGTAGGGTAAAGATCACCAGAATTACATTAAAGAGAGATCTAACCTTTCCAGCTATCCCAGCAAGAGTAGGGTCACCGATGAGTTTACTTGATATGAAAGCCTTATGGATGGCCTTGCAACAATTGTATCTAGCTTCCATACCTTAAATTTTTTCAGTGAACTATTGTCAATGGAGAAGGATAGAGAAGAAAGACTTGTAACTCTAAGCGTGATGAAATAAGTACATTTAGAGCTTCTTCTTTTTTTCTTTTTTCCATGTACCCTATCCCACCCCTCCCCAAGCACAAACATAAAATTAAATTGAATCCTGCCAACGACCTATTCGTCACCTTCAGTCAAAACCGATTATGTCTAATCCAAATTCCCTTTTTCCAGGTTAACAAACAGTGATTGGAGTAACGAGCAAAGAGAATACTCAAAACATCCAATGTAGAAATCATTATAATGACAAGAACATAAGAGTGTTGAAAATAGACCTATTTTTGTCGATTCGGTATTTGCATCAGTTACTATATCAATAATCCCTGCTTTTGAGCAAATCTCCATCAAGCACCAAGGCCGAACCACCAACCCAGTTATCATTCTATATCCCTGAAAATATTCCATTATAGTGCCATATCAAATATCTTTGATTAAGCACTAAAATACAAACAATATCTACCAGAACAACTACATTGACTTGCAAGCTGAAGCATATAAATTTTATCAATATATTCCCAAATTACTCGGTTCCTTGGAGGAGCAAAAAATGTACACTTTAGGAAAGAAATTACGGAGATGTCAACTCAAACATTCTTATGAGATTCTTTATGCGGATTGCCTACCCACCTGATCTCCCAGTATGATTTCATAATATTAGTAAATTTTCTTGTTTGCATCAAAAAAAAGATATTGTGAAAATGTCAATTCAAACATTGTGGATATGAAAGTCTTACCGCCAAACGGATTTCTGCAGCTTGTTGAAGAACTGATGAGAACAGCCCCTGCAGTTGTACCAAAAACTTAATAGAACTTCTATTTGGGTAGTGTAAAATGACTAAGAAAAACCATATGAACAAATGTATATATTTAAAGAACAGAGAATGTGCACTTAAAATGATTCATAACTGTAATTTTTAAATTATTTAATGATACACTGGTGTGCAGACAGCCCACCAGCACCTCGAGAAAATATGGAAGCTTATTGTCCAATGCAGCCACATCATATACTCACTCAATTTGAATTACAGGATAAATATTAAACAGTCCCATAAAGTCAAAGAGATGTAAAATTTGCAAAATTATTCCAGTGTAACAAGCAAAAAGATAAGTACTATTGATTGATTGGAAAAGTAAAAGGCTTACTGATGGAGTCAGCTTTGAACTCCTGGATGCTACTTCATATATCAAGCGTCGTAGGCTTTCTTCTGCATTACTGTTAAGAATCATGTTGTGCTCTGGTCGAGATTCTCCAGCTATGTTTGCAAGAGCATGCAGAGCAGCCTGCTTTTCCATTAAGAATCATCTAACTAATATATAGGAGGGAATAAAAATAAAAAAAGGTGCAGCAACTAGAAGCTTTGCAGAATATTTTATACAAGATCACTTCGAGCACATTTCTTAGAGCCAGTTTAATTCATAATAATGAGGGTACATCATACTAAATTTCATGCTCTGTTCACAGCCAAGAGGTTTTAGTTCTTCTATTTCAAAGATTCATTTAGCTACACTTAGACACATTGTTCACAGTAAAATTTGATGTACCACAAGGTCAAGTAAAACTCCAAGGACTTGAATGTATAAACCTATGAAGTATAGGATGTCTATATCTTAGATGGAGTTTCCTTTTGAGAGCAACTCCAATGCTACAATTGTCTAATTCCCCGACTCCTTATCCCCCTGCATGGGGATGGATCAGTTTGATCAATACCAATGCCATGCTCCAATAGGCCAAAAGATACAAGGCTCAAGTTTATATCAAGTTATCTCACACAGGGAAATCCAGGATATTACATCAAATTATTTCACAGGCAGTGTGCCAGCACAACACCAACAACATGTTGGAAAAACCAACCAGCCCACAGAAAATGGCACCTTTCTGGAGGCCATTATCGTTATGAGAAAATCACCTTCCCTATGCTCCTAATTTCATTAGAGTTACATGAATATCATTTCCATCTTGCTTATCCCTGTGAGTTTTGATTTGAAGAATCCTCTCACATCCACATGTGACAGCAAACAATGGAGAGATAAATTAAAAGGATCCAATGCACTCACCAACTGCTTAGTGCCTCCCTGCTTATCAAAGGCAGCATCAATCACATGTCTCGCAGCAGGTGGCACACTCAAGAGTAATGATGTAGCTCCTTGAATGGCTGAAAGCAACACAAATCAGTTGAAGCAAATAAAAAATATTTTAGAGAGCTTAATTAAAACTACTTCCCTTTTATTTTATAGCTTAAACTTTTGCATCAAATGTTAACTTGACATGATATTAGAGCAAAACTCCTAAATGTGATCAAATATCAACTTGACATGATATTAAAGCAACACTCCTACATGTCACGACTCATGTGAGAGCATTTATATTTGCATTTGTATTGGTATTTGGTATCGGATATAATTTGTATGAACCTGAGCATGGTCCACATTACATGCGCGTGGACCTGATGCAGCGTTAACTACTCTGGGTCCTTATCTGATAGGTTAAAATTTTAGATCAAGTGNCCGACCAGCACCTCGAGAAAATATGGAAGCTTATTGTCCAATGCAGCCACATCATATACTCACTCAATTTGAATTACAGGATAAATATTAAACAGTCCCATAAAGTCAAAGAGATGTAAAATTTGCAAAATTATTCCAGTGTAACAAGCAAAAAGATGAGTACTATTGATTGATTGGAAAAGTAAAAGGCTTACTGATGGAGTCAGCTTTGAACTTCTGGATGCTACTTCATATATCAAGCGTCGTAGGCTTTCTTCTGCATTACTGTTAAGAATCGTGTTGTGTTCTGGTCGAGATTCTCCAGCTATGTTTGCAAGAGCATGCAGAGCAGCCTGCTTTTCCATTAAGAATCATCTAACTAACATATAGGAGGGGATAAAAATAAAAAAAGGTGCAGCAACTAGAAGCTTTGCAGAATATTTAATACAAGATCACTTCGAGCACATTTCTTAGAGCCAGTTTAATTCATAATAATGAGGGTACATCATACTAAATTTCATGCTCTGTTCACAGCCAAGAGGTTTTAGTTCTTCTATTTCAAAGATTCATTTAGCTACACTTAGACACATTGTTCACAGTAAAATTTGATGTACCACAAGGTCAAGTAAAACTCCAAGGACTTGAATGTATAAACCTATGAAGTATAGGATGTCTATATCTTAGATGGAGTTTCCTTTTGAGAGCAACTCCAATGCTACAATTGTCTAATTCCCTGACTCCTTATCCCCCTGCATGGGGATGGATCAGTTTGATCAATACCAATGCCATGCTCCAATAGGCCAAAAGATATAAGGCTCAAGTTTATATCAAGTTATCTCACACAGGGAAATCCAGGATATTACATCAAATTATTTCACAGGCAGTGTGCCAGCACAACACCAACAACATGTTGGAAAAACCAACCAGCCCACAGAAAATGGCACCTTTCTGGAGGCCATTATCGTTATGAGAAAACCACCTTCCCTATGCTCCTAATTTCATTAGAGTTACATGAATATCATTTCCATCTTGCTTATCCCTGTGAGTTTTGATTTGAAGAATCCTCTCACATCCACATGTGACAGCAAACAATGGAGAGATAAATTAAAAGGATCCAATGCACTCACCAACTGCTTACTGCCTCCCTGCTTATCAAAGGCAGCATCAATCACATGTCTCGCAGCAGGTGGCACACCCAAGAGTAATGATGTAGCCCCTTGAATGGCTGAAAGCAACACAAATCAGTTGAAGCAAATAAAAAATGTTTTAGAGAGCTTAAAACTACTTTCTCGACCCTTTTATTTTATAGCTTAAACTTTTGCATCAAATGTTAACTTGACATGACACTAGAGCAAAACTCCTAAATGTGATCAAATAACAACTTGACATGATATTAAAGCAACACTCCTACATGTCACAACTCATGTGAGAGCATTTATATTTACATTTGTATTGGTATTTGGTATCGGATATAATTTGTATGAACCTGAGCATGGTCCACGTTACATGCGCATGGACCTGATGCAGTGTTAAATACTCTTGGGTCCTTATCTGATAGGTTAAAATTTTAGATCAAGTGGTAGCTTAAAAAAGCTATTACAATATCAGGTATAAAGCTTCGCGGATTAAGCAAGCAATTTAAGAACTTCTAATATTATTTGCAAAAGATAAAGCAAAAAAACTCAGAAGACTAGCTGTCAGTATGTTCCAAAACCAACAACTTTTTTTCCATACAATTTTTATCATTTTTCCCAAACTTATTGATTTAAAACAATTCCACTAGGTTGAAAGGGATTCAAATTTCAATCCCCAAGACCTCTTGCAAAACCCAGAAGATCCAACCAACATAAGCTACCACCCACACAAAATGAATAATAATAAATAAATAAATAAAGGGAACAATTTGATATTGCAACTTGTTTTTATTTCAGTTACTCATCACAAGAATTCTTCCCACCCAAATAGAGGTAGCGGGTTAAGCCTGAATAGGTTTTTCAGAAGTTAAAAAGAGTAATAGGTACTTCCAATCGATAAAGTAGCTAAAATAAAGAAGCCCAGGCCGAAATGGGATGCATGGACTGTGGACACAAATCCCAGGTTGCAATGAGCATTCATGCTCATTATCAATGGGCAGAATCATCCTACACATTGGAATTCAAACTCAAGAAGGGACAGCTATTTACTCACACAGTCAATATCACTGAAGCCATGTTTAAAATTAACTAACTTGTAAAGAAGTGAATTAAGTGAAGATCACAAATATATACTCAGACAAATAAAATTGCTTTGTCGCCTGGTTGTTATCTTCTTAGTCTATGATAGCTAGGGGCACACTTACATGACCCTATTTGACCCAATGCTTCAAGTGCAGATTCACATTCGTCAGTATCTTGACTTTCCAAAAACCCAAGTCTTCCATCAATTGCTGAAATCACAGTATTAATGCCTGAAATGGGAAGAAAATTAGTACATTTACAAACCACCGTCCAACACTTTTCAAATAATATGTTTCATCAACATCTGGAGCTTCGGGAGTAAGCAAAAGTCTTACTAGATTCATCAATGAACATTCGTGCATTCTCATTGGATAGAAGCCTTCCACTTATCATCATTGCTCTTGATCTTAAAACCGTTTCCATAGCTGAATTGCTACCAAAGATATAATATGGGGACAAAAAATTAATTATCAAGCATATAAGAGATTCTAAAAGCTAGAGTGAAGAAAGATTCTCTCTCAAGTAAGTACCCAATGATAGAACAAAGTAGTTGAAGAAGGGTGGTCCTAGCCAAGAATTCTGCACCATGCTGGATCTCTGCCAACTTTATCCATTGACCACACATAACAAAAACAAATTAAAAAATGCAAAAGTTTTGAATTATAAAATAATAAAGAATATTAAATCAAGCATCAAGTATTATCTTCTATGTGGGAAATTCCTTTGTTTCATGTATTAATCTTATATAAACAATGCCAGATGTAACAGACTTCATCTCATTCAATAGCTCAAGTAACAGAAATATACTTCCATGAAACCTACTTCAACAAAAAGGTAATAAGATGAAAATTTTGAATATATGACAGATGACACTTCTACCCTAGTCTAATATGCAATAACTGTGACTTGCACTTCAAAATAAGTGTTTGCATCACTTAGACAAAGAGAAAAGTGACCACAGTTAAATGGGTTCTGTTAACATGTGTAACTGTTAAGAGCTAACACAGTTGACTTGTCCAGAAAGAATTCTTCATACAGAGAAGTCAGCATATACAAAAAAGACAATAAGTGGAGATACACACAGATATAGGAAAGCGAAAGACTTTATCAATATAATTAACAGCCAACCTCATACAGGAGCTCCATAATGCTTAAAGTTACAAGGGTATCATCTGTATTGCTCACTCCTGCCTCCATTAAACTAAGCAAATTTGAATTGCATATAACTGATGCCACAGAGCTTGAAACTGAGAATAGCTTCACTATCAAAGATAAAACACGAACCCGTCCCTGAAAAATTACATGACTGCATCAATAAAACCAGTACCAAAGTAGCTTGCCTCCAACACATCAGCCTCAAAATTCAAAACGCTACTCTAACTACTTGTTGAGTCAGAGAAAAAGCACTAAAGCCGACATTTTTACAGTAAAAGAAATAAACAGAACTGAAAATGTTTCCATGGCTTATATAAATCAACAAAACTGATAGGGCTCCAAAATTATGCCCATGAATACAAGCCACAATTTTGATAATCTTCAAAATTATTAAAAGTTGTCATGCCCAAATTACAGAGGATTTAATCCAACACAAGTCATCAATTCTCATACCAGAGATGAACATCGGGCTGCTAAGTTTCCAAGGTGTGTAGCTTCATCATTATTAGCTGGAAAGATGATGTCCTTCATAAAATTTGCATCACACCGTTAGTAATTAAATTAACACTCGTTAACTTTAATTGTTAGAAGTTAGACTAACAGACAAGAAAAATAGTAGCCAAATCCTTACAATGCTTTTTGGAAAGCCAGCTAACTTCTTTATTGCCTCCATTGATGCAGTTGCAACTTGCTCATTGCTACAGAGAAGGGGAAATGCATTCACAAATTTTGCACAAAAATAACTCTTAAATGATTTGTAATCTAATATCTCATCCTCAGCCACCAAGAATTTTTGAAATATGCAAAACACAAAAACCAATTAAAAACATTACATGCTACCAAAACTTACCTCCAAATTCAAAACTCCAATAAATCCTTTCACCTGTGATATCATATAAGAAAACTCTACCAAAGTTATTCCAACCAATGAGGTTTCCCATGAAATGATTGCACATGCCTATGTAAGATGAGATGAATATTTTTTCTTTCCCCTCTGTGGGGTGAGAAGGACAAAGAGAATAAATATACCATATTGATACTTTCTATAACTAATGAACTTGGACATAATTACTTCACAAGACAAAATTACTCAAAAGATGACCATCAAAACTTTCTTATCCGTGTCATGATATAAGGAATAAAGAATGAGGGCAAGAAAAATGCTAATTGAGGACTAACTACAAGAGACCACAAAAAACAATAGTACACGGAAGCAATCAAGGAAGGATAAATACTATCAACAGATTTGTGGCTTTCAAGGCAGAGTTGAGATGCCCAACAAGCTGATCCCAAAGAGATGGAAAAAAAATCAAACATAAAGGTACTAAGCAAATAAAAAATCTACTTTAGTCAAGACAATCATATATTCATCTATTTATTCTAGGGATAAAACTGATTTATATCACATAAATTTCTATAAGTGCTATTTTGATGATTACAAGCAACAAAACAATTATGATGGAACAGATGACCTCTAGGCATAACAGTCAGGTTATCTATATATAATCTATGCTTGATCAAGCTGTCAAATACTGTAATCAAATTACAACACAACAAATACCATGGTCTCGACTAGAAAGGTATAATAGCGCAGAATTTTATATCCAGATTTTGCTTCAACAAGTGCTAAGGCCTTCTCATTTTCCATTCTCTTTGGCCTTAAGTGGATTAGAAATAAAAAATAAAAAGAAAATAAAAACCAAAATTTCCTATCACAAAGAATTGAAAGACCTATTCCAAACCGTGACTTGGTAAATATCATTTCTTACCCGTCAATTACGCAATCTAGCAATAGTGGATATATCTCATAGTCAATGATCAACTCTATAGCATGAGTCTCTTCACCAGAAATATCCAGAAGGCAAGCAATCTGTGAGGCAGTCAGCATGACAGTATAGGAAATCAATAACAGTGATATGGAAACATCCATTACATCAGAAGCATATAATTAAACAAATGCATTTAAATATTACCAAGCAATCATAAGTTGCATCAAATTATCAATTCCATTTAGTAAGTTTACAATAAATTGCTTCATACTAGTAATATACTTGGACTTGAAGGGGTACTGATAAGAAACTTGAATGAAAAGAGAGAACTGATGGGAAGTAGCTAAGAAAAAGGTAGATCCATAAATACTATCCGAAATAGCAAAAGATGCCTAATAATAGTCCATCCGTTGAAAGCCAGTGAATACTAGAGACCAGTAAAACAGTAGCTACTAAAGCATAAACTGCTCATTTTTCCTTCCCCGCCAGTGTAGAATGATAAGCCCAAACTACAGCAATCACACAATAGCAATCTTACCAAATCATGTGCTTACTTTAAACTCAAGCAAATCTAGATCTCCTTCTTTTATTTATTTTTTTTTTCTAGTTAATGGACCAAGAAAAGAGCCCTTCCAAAAAGGAGCTTTTGTTTTTTGTTTTATCAATGCCCATAAAGATGGATAGGAACGCTATGCTAAGGGAGCCAGGTATATCTTCAGTTAATTCGTCTACAATTCTAACACAAGGATGAACTTGATGAAGAATGAAGTGAATACACCAAACAACTATTGTAATAAGAGTGAGAATTTCACAAGCAATTATAATTTATTTTTAAACATTGCTTAAGCAAAGCTGGAAAATAGTGGCAATGGTGAATGCAGAGCTTTATCACATAAAAGATCCAACAAGCAAGTGCCCATTTTATCAGCAACATCAAAGTAAGTAAAATTGTACATGTTACACATGAACTCACAGTGTTGCAGGCCAAACATCTGACTGATTGAGATTTCGCTTTCAGACCTACTTGTACAAAAGCCTGAACAAACAGCAAATACAGGAAAAGCATGAGGGAAATTTTTTAATAACCTTAGATCACAAAAACAAACCCTCATTTTGAGCAGGAATAAACACAGAACTTCATTCTCATTGTAAATTCTTCAAGGTTAAGAGATTTCAAGAGAATGAATTACAAACTTATTCCCAATTCAAGACATATGTTGTTGTCTTACAAAGAGATAATTTTCAATACTCTAGCAATATGCTCAAGGAAATGAGCAATTTTACTGGCTTTAGAACTTAACATAATATCCATATGAAAGAATACACAAAAACCAATTTTCGGGTAACTAAATGCAAATCTCACTCAACATATTCACTCCACGCTATCACTAAATAGCTGACATAGCCCAAAGAAAGATACCAAAATACAAATGAAAATTTTCATTCTGCAGAAAAAACAAATAAATAAATAAATAATTATTTGCATACCATGTACTCAGGGATAAGAGAGGCACCATACTTTGTTTTGAATATCCTTTCTAAACAAGCAACCAGGGTAGTTTCTAAACCAGGCACGTGGCCTTTCGTTTGTAAAGCACTGCAAATATTAGAAGAAAATTACATCAAAACCAAATTCCACACAAGATAGAAATATGTTATATGATATGTCTCCAAAACAAAGTTATATAGTTTATAACAAAGGAAAATAATTACAAAAGACCACAAACGCAATCTAAAAGTCAAATACTATTCAAAACTGAAGCAAGCTAGTGCAAGGAATTATGAAAGCCAACTTAGACAAGACAAGTTAAAATGAATGGCTGACTTATCAATCCAATTTCAATCAATAACATTTCAAGCTGAGCACAGGTTCATTCAAAAGAATGTGAAAAAACTCAGTAAATAAAAAATAAAAAAATAAACCATAATACTTTTATAATTCATATTACCTAAGAAATGCAAATATGAACGCAAAACTTGCAATGTTTCTTATAAAATGTTGCAAATGATCAGTAAATAATTTATAAACTAAAATATTCTTACAAACTTATTAAGCAAACTTTACATAATATAAGCCAATAAAAAAAAAAACAAACAAAACAAAAACAATGTATTACTTCACAAATGAACAAAAGTTTCAGTTACTGATTATGACGGGAAGAGGAAAGCGGTCGAGGAAGTCCTTAGTGCGGCGTCGCTTTGAACACCTGAAATGCAGTGATTACAAAAGATTATTAATATTCTCTCCTTCTCAGATTATGCAAAAAAAAAATAATAATCAATTCGATTAAATAGTTACCAGGATGATTAGCGAAGTCAGAAGCCGAGTCAAGTAACTGAGTCGGATCGGCTATTGCGAATTCTTGTCATTGCTGAGAAATCGCTAAAACTTTGCTTGCTGTGAAAGCTATACTGCGATGGTGTATAGTGAGCCAGAAAGCGAGTAAGAAAGAAAGGGAAAGGTTTGAAACGACGCGTGGCGATTGCTTTGGTTGCGTGTCACGATGTCGTGCTGGGGCAAACCGACGCAGATTACAATACGCGGGTCAGGAAAATCCGATATGCTTCGGCTCTTCTCTTTCAAATTTTAACACACGTTGTTTCAAATAAAATAAATAGGATATAATTAGCTAATAAAGTTTTACATTTATAATTATTTTCTTGTAGGTTTAACAAGATAAGGTTGATGTGGATGATCTTCCGACGATCAGATTCGTGCCACCTGTCCTCCTACTAAACTAGGATCGACGGTTGAGTCCTACTCAGGTGTACTGATAGATGACTTCTCCAACAAGTTTATCAATATTAAGATGGTGTGTTCAGACTTCAATATAAAGAAGTTGATTCATATCCGAATTATGGAGATTATGTGTGAAATCAACCCTGTAACAACAACTCCTCACCATGGTGTAGCCTCAAAAAGTCAAGCCTATGTCAGCACAATTAATGTCTCTCTATACCAGCTGCCAAGCCCATATCTCCAAAGATATTCTCACCAACTTTATCTCATTTCAAGGAGATGAATGGACGAGAGCCTTCCATGTGTCAAGGCAGTTTGCAAAAGCTCTCATTGCATTGAGTGCAAATGTGAATAAATGGATTTTTCTCTTCCCGAAGAAGAGAGGCTGGTGGCTGGGCTGAGATTTAGCTTCAATTCTTTCTCTCTGTAAAAACACTTTATTTCTTCATCTTTGTATGCCTTACGGGCAAATTCATAGAAATAGTAAGAGATCAATAAAATAACAGTGGATGTAGGAGTCGCTTGTTGAGCATCCGAACCACTATAAAAACCCCTCTTGCCAATCTTTTACTTATATTTTCTGCAAAATATATAATCTCAGTTCCATATTCAAATCTCATGGATCCATCACGTGTGTCTCCTGAGTCAGCTCAGCGTTTCCCACGTGCGAGTCGTTGGCGTCCAAAATCAAGCGTCAACACATGGTGTGTATAAAAATGAGAAACCGCCTTTTTTTTAGGGATGGATGATTCACACAAGAACAAGAAATCACTTAGAGAGAGTTTTAGCTCGCTATTGCCTGTTTCCTCCCTATAATTAGCGCTGTCAGTCGAGCCGAGCCGCTCCGTTAAATACTCGAACTCGGCTAGATTATAATCAAGTAGAGCCGGCTCGAATTCGACTCGAGTAAGTTACCGAGTCGAGTTCAAGTCTACCCTGACTCGGCTCGCGAGCCAATAGTGGCTCGTTTAGGTTTTTTTGCGCATAATACAAGTTTTTGGGTTTTTTGGTAATTTGACATGTAAAAGACTAAAAGGTTTAAAAAATCACAAATTAACCCTTAACCAAATAACCCCAATTAACCCAAAATCAAATCACGTAAATTCATTCTCCCCCAAATCAAGAACCCTGAAACAAGAAACCCCAAAAACAATTTCCCGATTATCACACCAAGCCACCCACAAACACAAGAACCATTGGAGATTCAACTTCCGGAAGTTTGAGTTCTATGCTGTTTTGAGCATAATTTTGATGTATTTTAATGGACATTTGTGTTTTTTTTTTTTTTTTTTTGGGTCTTGGATTGTATAATTTGTTGTGTAATAGGTTGTTTATGTTGATTTGGATGTGATTTATGTTGATTTAGATGCAAATTTATCAAAAATTGGATATGATTTGTGTAAAACAAGATCAGCATGTTATATTAAAAAAGGGCCAAACGAGCCATAATCGAGCTAATTCGAACTCGCGTTAAACGAGCCGAGTCACAAGCTGAATTTTCTTGACTCGGTCGACTCGTGACTCGACTCAAACTCGTCTAATGCTTAACCGAGTCAGGCTCGTTTAGGGTGATACTCAGCTCGTTTACACCCCTACCTGTAATCACCTTGTATATAAAGCAAATACAAAGCAATAATATAGTAGTGGACGTAAGTTTGATTCATACTTGCTGAACCACTTTAAAAACCTCTCTTGTCATTCCGTTGTTAATTTTTTAATCCATTTCAAACTGGTTATTCTTAATCACGCACACACTCTACCCAATCCCGTCGTGATCGATTAGGTATCACCCACTGTTATGAGTTTTCGTAACAACATGTTTATTGCAATGTCACCCTTTAGATTTGTCTCAAAAACCTTAAAATGGTATAAACTATAAAATATATTTTGATCCAGTTGTTAATATTTTCCCCTAAACAACTAGTTTTAATTAAAGGATTGACAATTTTGGACAAACCTTGAAAGTTTTGGTCGTACGGTTAATCGTTTTAATACTATTATAATTTTTGAAAGTAAAAATAATCAATTTTGACCAAAACCATCAATTAATTATTCAAAATGTCTTTTCTTTTTTGCGATGTTAAATCTAATGAACAGAACCTGGAGATGATAATAAAATTAGTTCGAAAAAATAATTTTAAATAAATTTTGAAATATTAAAAAAAAAAAAAAAAGAATCACAAATAGAATAAAAACAAACATGCATTGTCTTGTACATCAATTTTCTAAATAAAAATAAAGAATATATTCCATTTATTTTTTAAAGAATAGATAACATATCAAACAAAGTATGTAGCCCAAGAAGAAAATGCTTTTTGTTGAAGAAAATCCAGGAGGACAGAAAAGAAAAGATAGCCCACAATGTGATTTATTGGGCCTCATTTATTTTTGAACTTCATGTTTCACCGTTCATATCTACCATAAAAAGAAACACAAATGTCCAGTCATCCATGGCTGTGTCTCCTTCAAAATATGAAATGGGGCAAATTCCCAACACAAAATGTTAAAAGAAATGATCACATCAAAGAGTCTTAAGGCATGTAAAAGTTAAAACCAACTCAAATAATAATTCTCTTTCTCTTTACATAACATCCAAACCCCAGCTTTTGGTGTTTGGAATTTGGATATATTATTCAAGAGCAAACATTTCCTGCAGGGGGAAGTTAAGTTAAAGGCCAAAACTTTCATCAATATGGTACATGGCGTGCCATGCCATTTCTATGGCAGAAGCAAGCCACAAGCCAATGAAGGCACTGGTCCCAGTTGTTGGGCTGTCCCAGAAAACCCAAAATGTTACTGTACTGATTGCCTTGCCAATCATCCTCATATCACATGCCAGTTTTCCACCTTGTGGCTTGCTGTGAACAACCTGACCACCCCACCTCATCACCATCATTTCATTGGGAAGCATCAGCATTCTGCAGGCAGATCAGATCAGAGTTTGTGCAATCTTTGGCACTATGTACAATTTTAATTTCTTCAAGATTTTGAACTATAAACTCCTGACGAAATGGAATGTAATTTGGAGATTAACCACCTAAGTTTTGATCAGAGAATATGATATCTGAAAGCATAAATGAAATACCACAATGTGCCTGAATCTCTGCAGTTGTCATAAAGTTTGGACGATTATGGAGAACATTGTGGAGAAGAATCGGTACTAATTACTCAACTTGTGTGTATCTCCAACTTCCACAGTACAAAAAAATTATTAATTTAAATCTCCAAGCTAGTCGGCCATAGCCATTACTTGCCTATACATATATTTTTTATTTGCTTCATCGGTGAAAAATACTATCTCACTGGGTGTATTAGATTTGTCCCTTCTGCAAGTAGCAAATGAAGTCATGCTCTTGAAGCTCAAACATGAAGCAAACCAGACCCCACATAATAATTGTGGATATGATTTAGACATTTTAGCACATTCATTATGCACCAAATGGCCTAACCCCAACTACCCATTTAATGTTTCATTCAAGAAGACATTACATGGGATTGATTCTAAGTAGGAAACCAGACGCCATATTGTTAAACTTAAGTGTTTTAACACAACAGAAAATCATCCATCATTAATGCCTACAAGTAGTTAACCATCTGATACAGAAGCATATAAAAACATAAAACATATTGCTGGTACAAATAAGATTAACTTTAATGGACGATAATGAAAATTACACATTATGAAAAGTTTAAAAGCACACCACAAAAGGAAATCTCTCTATGGCTGGAGAAAAGCCGAGTCTCAGAAATTCAATTCCTGGAAACTCTTTCACGAGAGTTTCACTTAGTAAGTCCACATGCAATCAAGTTCAGTTGGCCCCACAGACATCCTGGCACCACCACCGGTTCCTCCTCCTCCGGCCATCATGTCTTGCATCACCGGCCAGTTTGAGGTACCACCCTGGAACGGCGGGGGAGGAGGTGGGGGAGGGTAAAAGAAGTTAGGCAAATGGAGATTCTCTTGCAAAGACCTCAAGCTGGGGAAGTTAGAGACGCCAAGGTTTCTTGAGAAACGACCAACTGGGTCAATCCCGTTGAGCGGTGGGGCCAGGTCAAAAGTGGGGTTGAATGTGGAAGCAGCAGCAGAAGCAGCAGCGGCTGCAATGGTGGAGAAACAGGACACGTGCTCAGTGGGAGCGTGATTGTCAAAGGAGCAACTTTCAGTAACGGCGGCGGTTGTGGTGGTGTTGGGGTGGTCAAGGAGAGGCGGCAGAGAGACCGAGGAGGGAGAACTCGGCTCTGGGTATGAAAGGTTTAGTGTTGAAGTTGCATTTGAGCAGTTCATGCGAGTTTTCTTGGAATTGTTCGCAGTGGAACCAATGCTCTTCTGAAACACCCTGGAAATCACCCATTCATCCTGAAGGTAAACAAAACTTGTCACATATCTTACTTATAATCTCAACAAATGACACAAAAAGTTAATATCCGACTCTGCATGATTATTATTGTCACAAAAAAAAAAAAAAAATTGTTACTTTGCGAAGTAAATGTTATAAAAGATTAGGTTATCTTGAGGTAATAAGGCAATGTGACCATAAACGACAAGATTAGGAGTAGTTAGTTTAAATAGACATGTGGGAAAATAAACATATAATCCATGGATTCTCACTCTTAACGCGAGAAATGAGAAGTGGGGAGCCATTAAAATGGGTGTAACAACTTGAATATTCTGAGAAGGAAGCTGTTTAAAGAGTAATGATAAAGTTATTGGGGGTTTAAACTCAATAAAAACATAAAGTCATTCCACTTTCTGCAATGTAGCAAAGTATTACTCCACTATTAATTCCGCACCCTTTCCTTTTTTAGCTCCTTCAAGGAGCAACTTTGTACCATCATCAACAAAATGTAATTGGGATTTTTAAGCTTATGCGATATACCTTGGAGCTCCTGGAGAGATAATGGTAAGAAAATTTGCCTTCAAGGCGATATTCATGCATAACCCAGTTGCTTTTTTCTCCTTTGGGGGCTCTCCCTTTGTAAAACACGAGAGTTTTCTTCATGCCCACAAGAGCACAGGTTCTTGAGCTGTAAATCTCTCTGTCTTTCCCAGTGGCCTTCCAGTAACCTGCTTCTGTGGCCCTGTTAGTTCTCAGCCCAGTTGGGTACTTCCTATCCCGTAGGCTAAAGAAGTACCACTCTTTCTCTCCCATCTTCGCCTTCTCTGCCAACGAAATTAAAAAAACAAAACAAAACGTCAAAACTTGTATCAACTAATAACTCGAGTTCAATAAATGAAAATTTTATGTTACCTGGAAGCTCCCAAGGCTCACACTTGTTGAGATCAACTTCAGCAATGGCTCGCCCGGAAAAGTTACTGTCAAGAACCTTCTTGAGAAGATAAAACGTGATGAGTTCTTCATCAGTGGGGTGAAACCGAAAGCCAGGAGGCAAATGGGCATCAGAGTTGTCAAAATGATGATGGAATGTATCCATGAAGAAGAAACAAAAGCTATATAGACTGAACTGAATACTCAACTAAAACACAAGAAGAAACAAAAAACCAAACTTGATCGCTTATATCTTGATGAAACTTGAAACTTCAGAACAAAGAGAGAACTTTTTCTTATGTTGCTTGTGGAACTTGGTTTGCGTAGTTGTGGGATAGTGTGGTTTGAGAGAGTTGAGTTATGTTATATTGGGTAGTTTCCATGGGGATTTGATGAATGGATTGACAGGGGAAAGGTTAAAAGAATAAAATAAAATAATTAATAAATAATAAATAACAACAATAATAAGGTATGATCTGGGGTTGGAAAAATCTCTCTATGTTTTCTCTGCAGTGTCCTATTGCGTTTTCTCTCTCTCTGTCTTATAGGGGCTCTGGCAAAAAAGCTGATCATAACACCATAGGTAGAGAGAAAGAGAGAGAGAGAGGATGATGTATGTTTCTGAAGAGTGGGGCTCTGTGGGGTACTGTTTTGAGTATGCGTGCGTGCGTGAGAAAGTGTGCAGGTATTCTCTATTAGTGAGGAAAATATAAGAGGGAACAGAAAGTAGTTTTATGAGAGGGGCCCTTTTGAGAGAGAGAGAGAGAGAGAGAGAGAGAGTAAATATAAAATAATAAAACCAAAAAATATGCATATATTATATATCTACAAGAGAAAGAGAGAGATACATTGAGATTTCACCATGTATCGATAAAGCTGTTTCGTATCTCTTCTGTCTGAACGGTACAAGATTAAATTATCAACTCCACAGAAACCCGTCTCATTTACACGCCACCTTCATATTATATCTTTTCTTTTATCTCTCTCATTTTATAATTTTCACTCTTTATTCATATGTGTTTGTGTTACTGTTGATTTGTTGAGGTTTTGGTAGTATTTCTGCAAGTAATTGTACAGCAGCTAGGAGCCACAGTTTTCAGCACAAGAGACAAAGAAATTTCCCACAGAATGAGGCTAAAAGCAAGATGGCAAAAGAGCTTTACCTTTACCCTTTACCATAATGAAATGATTTGATGATTTTGTTTTGTTTGTTTTTGTTTGTTTGTTGTAATTATTTGTGAAACTTTTAATACCTCTTTTCTTTTACCTACTCTTCCATGGTGGATACTGCATATTAAAGGTTCTGCACGATCCCCTACCCAGCTCTGTATTTATCTAATTTAGGTGAGAAGTTCTAATTTTTCAAGGCAATTAAATTAAATTAAATTTGACCAAGAACAACAGAACTTAAAGTATAGCTAAGTTATGGTGGTAGCTAGGTGTATTATATATGCGTATATATAGGCACCATCAATTCATGAATCAATTATTGAGGCTAAAATCTTAGGGTTTAAATTGATGTTTCAACAACTGTAAAACAGTGAAAATATATTGCATGCAAAATGAAGAAAGATTCCCAGTATCATTGTTGATTGAGATTGAAGCTGCTGAATATCCTTTTGTCTTCATCAAAAATCCCTGCTCTTAAACCTTCCTCATGTTACAAACAACACATAATTTTCATTACCCATCTCTTTCATATATCATGTCCAAAATAGCAAAATCACTTCTGATGATATGCAGAAAGACTACTCACCATCATCATCATCATCATCATCATCACCATCTTCAACTATTTCATCATATTTTTCATGTAAAAGTTTGATAGTAACCCCAACTTTTGTTGCCATATCTGCACTGAAAACTTCACCATTTCAAACGAAACTGGAGAGTATTTTTCAGATGTAGCTATCTAATAAAATAAGGTTTTATATTAGTGAAAAATGGTGAAAATGGAGTTTACAGTAATACAGGGAAACGACAAAAACTTCTATTTAATGTGAGTGATGGAAATGAAATGATTATTAACCTAGCTGACTACCCATCACCATGCATGATGCATCAAGTCAAGCAATCACATCCGTCCATCGCGTCCATCTATCTATCTATCAATCAGTTGATGCAATGGGATATTAACGCGTCATGCTCGGATTTTGATGGATACAACTCATTAACCCAAACAGAGGTGACCCATCCCCACCCTTTACATCAAATCTACTTCCTCTTGCTAATTCCTTTATTACCCTTTCCCTTTTTCACTCTAATTTAAAAAAAAAAAATGAAAAGAAAAAGCCAATGACATTGTTACTAACAAATGACATCAAAGAAATAAAAGATTGGATCCATTGCTTTTTATTTACGTTATCCGACGAGGTCAACGGCTTTTTTAATATTACAATATTTTATATTTAATTTACATAATTATTGGAGAGTTAACAGCCTTTTTCTATTCAAATAATAATTTAATAATATTTTTTCGTCCACAAACTTACAAAAAAAATTAATTTATTATTCAATTTTATATTCCAATAGTGAATAAAGAACAAACTCGATTCAAATTGTTAAAACTTTTGAAAAAAGGAAACCAATGAGTATTTTGATGGTAGATGTTTGGATTTTGATGATCGGGATTGATCGGAATTTGATTTGAGAGGAGCGACTGCACAAACCCTAATCATTCGATTGTCGGTAATTGAAGGGGTCAGTAGGAGTTGGGTTTGAAGGGTTTTAGTGTGTGATGATTATAAAAGAGAATGGTAGTGGTATGAGGTTACAACAATGCCAAAATAAAAAATGAAATATAAATTTAAATAATAAAATGATATTTTAAGAAGCTCAGTGTAAAAGTATTGTTAAGCTATTATTTTGATAGGAAAAAGTCATTAACTCATTATTAGATTTTCGTAGATAGCGCAGATGACCTTCAAGTCTTCAACTCCATCCCTAAACCGAACCCTAGTTTTTTGGGAGCATGCATAGGGGCAAGTAGAGGTGTAAACGAACCGAGTTTTAGGCTAATTGAGCTCAACTCATTTGTTATAGTGTCAATCTTGAGCCTAACCAAGCTTGAGCTCGAATCTTGAACCCACCAAAAAAACAAAAAACTCTCCAATTCTTCATTTTTTTTTTTTCCAATCGAGTTTAAGTTCAGAGTCAAAAACTGACGAACTCAAACTCTACTCAACATTGTAGCCGAGCCGAGCTTGAGTCCCTCGACTGACACCCTAGGGGGGTATCTCTGTTTAATATTTTAAGTTGTTTAAAATATTTAAGAATCAGTAAAATTTAATTTCTGATTTTTAATTTTGCGAAAACACAAAAATAGTAGTTATTAGAGTTCGTATCACGATGCGGCATGTGATGTGAAATAGTAAATGTGGCACGGGCTTCTCGCAATTTCAACATTAATAAATAATAATGTGGTTTAGGTTATGAAATTCAAGTCTTCTTTTTAATGTGCAACAACAATCCCTGTCTTCAATTAAATGTTGTTCCTTATATTATGACACAAATATATAAGCCAGTGACTCTGGTAGGATTTATTACATTACATGGACACACAATAATATTTGATATACATGTCATGTAGTTAGGAATTTATTTTAGATGGGGTCTGCCGGTCTGATATGAGTCCAACAGAATGAATTTAATTTTTTGACGATTATAATAAAGTCTGGAATTCCTATATTTAATATCACTCCTTCTGTCCTTTCCACTTTTACTTCTCCAAAATTATTATATCACTCCTCTTATTGGTATATTTTATAAAGTTATCATTTAATTATTTCGACTGAAAAGATGACTGATTAACAAAAAATAAAATAAATATATTATAAAAGATGTTACTAATTTGATTAAAATCTTGTATTTTATTAAATTATTTATACAAATTAATACGTGTTAATATAGGAGTGAAGTAGTATAATTTAAAATGATTTTAATAAATTAATCACGACAGCATCAAATTATATTATTTATAGGGTTATCACTTGTTAAAATCACTAATGCTTCGTTTGATTGGATTTTGGGAATACTACTTTTAGTATTCCCAAAAAAGTTAAACAGTAAAATACCAAAAAACTCACAATATTATTCAACTTTATTCAACATTTTTTAAACCCCTTAAATTTGTTAATTCAATTAAATACCCCTAAATATTTTTAATGTTTTTGTTACGGCGACTCCGGCCACTCTCCGGCGGTGATGGCCGGCTGTCCGTATTTGAGGGTGGATTAGGGGTGTTTTTGTTAACTTTTAATGTTTTATTATAAGGGGTGTTTTGTAAAAAAACAAACATAGGGGGTATTTTACAATTTGTAAATCCTACATCGTAATACCCGCCCAATTCAACTTTTTTTTAACTTTTTTCAAAAAACTTTTCCCAAAAACACAAAATTGTGAGCCAAACGGAGCCTAAAAGACTAAAATTTTACTCATTTACTTATTGTATAGAAAAAGACAAAAAAAAAATCGAATTATTGTAAAAATTTTATTTTAAGGCTTTTAATGTTACATTACATTAATTTAAATGAGAAATTTATACATAATGTAATGCAGGTAATATTATTTGGAACCAGGTGCATAGTCAAAGTATACTCACTACTCAGTGATGTCTGTTGACCCAATTAAAATTATTAAAAATAAGTATATATTTTATAATAATTAATAATTTTGATTTAGTTAAAATTACCCATATTTTATTGATCTCGAGATTAAAAAATATTTATATTTTTTTCCAAATTTCTCTTTTCCTCAGTTCCTCTCATCTTCTCTCATACTTTCTTCTTCTTTTGGTTTGATTAATCAAGAAAAATTACTCATTTGGAGGTCACAAGATAAGTTAATACTCATTTTTTTGTTATTTTACTTAAAAAAATCTCATTTTCTATCTTTCTTAGTTGATGAAAAATAGAAGAAGAGATTTTTTGACTTGGATATCTAATAATGAATTTTTGACATTAAATGGAATTTATGCTCTTGCTAAAAAGTTGGTTCAAACAAAGAAGACACATGGTGTATTACTTAGTTTATTTACTTATGAAATTATTAGTATTAAAAGAGTATTTTCTGCAATAAAGATTGTTAAAAATCAATTACAAAATTGAATAGGAAATCAATTATTAAATGATTGACTTATTAAATAAATTGAGAGATATATATTTGATG